GGTAGAAGTATTTCATTACCAACTCTAATAAACCATAAACATACTGCTGATAACTGTAGTACAACAATGTTATTAATATGTATTCAGACCTGTATCATGTTATTGTTTCTAGTTTTCAATTATGTCTATTTTTGTTTTTTGTTCATGTGAAGTGATGTGTATTTTAACTGCTGTTGTAATGACAATTCACAATCTGTCTATCTGTCTATCTATCCATCTATCTATCTATAAAACTTAATAATAGCTTATCTATGAGCAGCCTATATAAACTATACTGAACAGCACTAAGAGTACTGTAGAGCCCAGAGGTGGAAACGTCAAAGTCTGGGCCTGTTTTTCTTGCAGTGATGTAGGTGAGCTTGTGTTCTTTGATGCTATCATGAACTCAGAATTGTTCAAAGATATTTGGGATGGAACCCTGCAGCTGGTCTAGTGCTGGTTTAGCTGGTCACCCAGCATGGTCATGTTGGTTGACCAGCATACCAGCATCCAGACACAACGTAACATATTCTGGCTTTGCAGGTGACTAGCCATGCTGGTCTATGCTGTTTTTCTAGCAGGTGATGCAGAATTTTTTGTGAAAAACCAGTCCTTTCAAAGTTTGCATTCTGTCAATGGCACAAAGCACCTCTTCCGTTGCTAAAATGTGCACGTATCTTTCTGATGACATTTCTCCTGAAACCATCTACAGGAAAGTCTCTCCACTCAGAGGCCAAATTGACAGATTTCCAGTCATGCAAGACCAGACAGAAACATCACTCTGAAAAACACCAGTTGTCTTTAAAAAAATGCTTTGCCAAAAAGTAAGAGACAGTTTTAAAATGGTTTACAATAAATATCACTTGGTTTGGCATTTTGTTTCCTAACACAATGAACATTTTTAGCTATGGCACAAATATCCAAATCATTTTCTGGGGCCACTATATGTGATTTGATCTCAAATCAATCAATACATTTTTATTCCTTTATAGTTTTACAAAAAAGCACACAATTTTACCACCTCTCCTTACCCCCAATATAGTCAATGAACCAAGACATGTTTGTTGTCTTAAGTTTGCTTTTTTAAGCAAATCTAACAGCCCTGGAGCTGTGAAGCTAATGTAGCTAATGTAAGTAATGTCATACTGTTACTGATAAAATGGACAAAAGTAAGTAATACATCTAAAAAAATTGTAGCAGGACAAAAGTATGTATTTTGGTCTGTACTTCTGTCCATTTTTATAGATAACAGTGTATCATACACTGTCAAAAACACAAAAGCACTACTTAAGAGATGACTTGAGGCAAGTGTGAGACTGTGTGATGATTTAGGCATGCAGTTTGCACAATGTTAATTGGGTTCCGTAAGCTTCCATTACTTGTTAACTACATTAGCCTCATAATTCCAGTGTACAAGTAAAGAAGCAAACTTCAGACACCAAACATGACTGTCTTGACTGATGAACTGCATTTAGCATAAGTGGAACATTGTGTAAATTAAAGACATTTTGTGGAAATATTACTTTAAAAAGGCCTCTGATCTGTGAACTCAGCTGCCGCTGATGAAGGCCACTCAATAAAGCAGAAGTTCAAAATGACTGTTGGTAACCGGCCCACTAATAGATAAAAAGTGACAGTGAACGAGGAACAAGATAACAGGCAGAAAAAATGAGGCTCAGTAATCATTAACTGGTTTGTGCGTGTGGGAGTGTGTTTTTCACAGCTGTCTCTGTCACCTCACAGTCATTTGGCATAATTAAGAAGAGACTTATTTGAAAGAAAATGTATGTAAACAGCTTGAAAACAATTAATATTTCAGTGTAAATCTTGTGTAGTGCTGCTTTAACAAATAATTTTAAAGTTTTGGGTTTTTTGGTGCTGTGTGATGCGGCGCTGTATGACCCTAGCTGGTCTATGCTTGAATGTGCTGGTTTGTGCTGGTCTAGTGCTGGTCCAGTGTTGGTTTAGCCAACATCCAAACACAACATATCGCTACTGTCGTAACGACACCTTGTTTTTTATCGTTTTTCAGTTTTTGACATAATTTTAAAATGACTATTGCCCTTTACATTGTATGTAAATTTCATGATAAATGGACCAAAAGAGATGGCCAAAAATTACTTGGAAAAAATTCTGGTTCCATTGACTTATATTAAAAGTAAAGCATGTTTTTTCTTTCTCCTGTAAAGTTACAATTTCAGAGATACAAGATTTTGTTCTGACAACAGCAATATGTTGGTTTTGCTGATGACTAGTCATGCCTGTCTATGTGTTTTTTTCCAGCAGGGGATGCAGGAATTTTTGTGATACTAATGTCCTTTCGAAGTTTGCATTCTGTCCCGTGATCAACACTGTGTGTCAATGGAACAAAGCACCTCTTCCATTGCTAAAATGCACATGCATCTTTCTGGTGAGGTTTCTCCTGAAACCATCTACAGGAAAGTCTGTCCACTCAGCGGCCATATTGACAGATATTACCAGTCATACATAGACCAGACAGAAACATCTCTTTGAATGGGGAGAAAGCTATAAACCTAAAACTGAAAGCAACATTAACAGAATCAAAATTCTCTGATAAAAAAAAAAAATCACTGATAAAATCTGACAAAAATCACAGAAGTAGTTGTGTGTAGTTCCAATTCTACCTGCTAACTAGGTCCCCCATCACATGATGCCAACAGGCTGGGAGTTGTTCCCACTGAGACATATAAAGCATGTCAACGCAACGTCATGGAAGCTCAATGTACTTGAAGGAGAATGTAAACTGCTAGGTCTTTTAAGTAAGCTGACAAACCCCCGTGTTGACTAGTGTAGAGTGATGGGGCATTTGTGTGTGGGTGTATCTACACTGTATGTTTTATGCACTTCATGTAGCACTTTGTTGAATCTTTAGGACACTTTAGAGGATCCTGTTTTCATAGAACAATGACTCTCTTTACGAGCGTCTGAACATATTATCCTTTCACCCCCACCCAGGTCACCTTCACACATGCTATAAAAATGGGTGCAACATGCCTGCTAAGATTTGAGTGCTCAGTGTTGAGATAAAAACCTTCTAACTCTGCTTCTAAAACCTGAATCAGAGTCACAGTCTGAATTAGAATCAAAAGTCAAAACTATAACTAAAGTCCGAGTCAGAATCAGAATCAGAATCTGAGCCTGTATCAGAGTCAGAAACACAGAATCAAAGTCAGAACTTTAATTAAAGTCCGAGTCAGAATCAGAGCCTGAATTTGAGTCAAAATCAGAATCACAGAATCAGAGTCAGAACTAGAATTAGAGTCAGTCAGAATCAGAGTCAGAGTCTGAATTTCAGTCAGAATCAGTATCACAGAATCAAAGTCAGAACTTGAATTAAAGTTAAAGTCAGAATCAGAGTCAGAGCCTGAGTCAGAATCACAGAATCAGAGACAGAACTAGAATTAGAGTCAGAATTTTCCAGAGAGTGTGAGACAGTAACAAGACTGTAACAAGAAATATTTGAGACAACAAACCTCATCAATTTTGAATGTTAAAATTGAATGTAATCAATTATAATAATATTCAATAGAGTATGCACTTGTTTTTGGCCAAACATCTTCTAAGCTGCTTATTCTTCTGGGTTGCGGAGGGAGCTGGAGCCTATCCCAGCATTCATAGGTCAGAAGGCAGGAAATACCCTGGACAGGTTGCCAGTCCATCGCAGGGACACTTAAAGAAAAACAAAAAACAAAAAACAGCACATTTGTGCATAATGAAGATGTCTGAATTCAATGGAATTGTGGTGAATTTTGTATATCATGACATGATGAATCATTTTCTAAATAAATATAATCAAGATTTACACCCCTTATGTTTACTCAAATGCTTCCCTGAAAAATCATTTGCTGAAACTACTGACCTCTGATGCACAAACAGGAAGAGACTGAGAGAGGAAGACACACAACCAATACAGTGAGAAAGAGGGAAATCATAAACATATTGGTTACTGGTTAATAGCTACTGTTTTTATTCATCTTAGATCAGTGTTTGTCCTTCATATCCTTACAGTGTCTCACAGTGTTGTCTTCATTGCTGCTGTAATCACTGTTATTGGTGTTGTTCGGCCTCCCTTTCTTTACGGTCTCAGATTGTCTTCTCACCTGCAGTGATTGCTCACCTGGTTGCTATTATGGCACGTATAAATGGACTATGAGGCCCAGATTAATTACAGTGTTAAGAGGAGTTTCAGTGATATGAATATGATATGCCTCTGCAGATTCTGATATGAATCAGTCACTGCAGTGTGAGAAACACTTCTGGACTTTTTTCACAATTCTGTTCATAAACACAGTTCCTGGCGCGTTAGATGTTATAGTTAATCAAGCCGCCCAGCGTCTGTCACCGGCTTTGAGAAAAAGAGTTTATGAGCATCAGGCAAACAGTTTTACAGTCACATACAGTTCACTTTTATAACACTCCAATTCATCAGTCACACCACCAATCATCCGTTTACAGCTCTGTCAGACCTTCGCCCCCTCTGTGGCCCTGAGACTGACACTCTCTGCTGCTCATATTTTTCTGGCACATTCTGTAGGCCAGATTAGACAGACTGAATGATAAGCAACAGCTCAACTTGCAGTAATGTTGCATTTGAACCTTTTTTTTTAATCCCAGACTGTTTTACCACCCCCAAAAACTGTAATTTTATTGTTTATTTCCCCTAATTTTAAACTATGGTATATATCATTTACTTTTTATTTTTTATAACATAAAAAATAACAAAATTTTGTCACATTTTATTGAACATACAATCCTACTACGACTAATTTAATGGCAGTAGTAGTAGTAGTAGTTTTATTAGAAGTCATAATAATAATAATAATAATAATAATAATAGTAATTCTTTCCATTTTTTAAATGTTAAATTATAAATTTAACATTTAATTTTAAATGTTGCTGCCATTTTTGCAAAACTTGCAACCCAACAGCGGTGAAGAAGCAAAGAGAAAAAAAGGAAAAGAGAAATCCAGACCGAGTTGATGTTGTATGTAAATTAGTTTCTCTCCTCGTGACGTTTCAGTGTGAAGTTGCTGATTAACGCGCGAGCTTTTCTCTGTCTGTCGAGTGAGTTTTCCCTCAGCTGAGGCGTCGAAAGAAAATAATAAAAAAGGGTTTTTATTTTCTTTTATGTCCTGCGATTAAAGACACAAATACCGAAACACTGACATTTTGTCACCGAGAGGAGACTATGTTGGAGTTATCAGCGGAGGTGAGCAGAAACTAGTCTCTTTCTCTCTCGGCTGCCTGAAGCTTCAGTAAATGTTTGATAGATTTGTAATTACTGTTCTAAAGCTAATGCTAACAGTGTTATTTCTCATCGAGTATACCTGAGAGGAAAGTAATCTGCGTTTAGGTCTTCACATTTAGCTCCTATGAGTTAAATTTAATACTGTTCTTCTATCTGCTTTGCTGTAACGTTAGATGTACCTTTCAGACTTTAAACTAGCGTTTTACGGAAAAAAAAGCAAAATAAGAGAAAAAATATCTGAGAGAGAAAAGAATATTCAGTTTCTATGCTGATAAATGCTGAATATACTAAGAAGTTCCGCCGCAGAACTTGAGGAGTTTATGGACCTGATATTTTTTCTACTCACCCTGGGCCACTTTTACCTCCACTTGAGTCATTATTTATTTCGGTAGCTGCATTTTTACCTCAGTAGTTGTGGGGTTAGGTGTTTAGGCTCCTCCGCCTGTGGGACGCAGAAGGTTAAAAGTGTCCACGTTTGACCTTGATTGGTTCAACGTGCTTAAAAAATCTCAGTGATTTTCTTTTACAGCAGCAGCTTTGTTCCAGTCGAAGAAAAATGATAAAAGGCTGATGTTAATGCAGGAGGACTGCATATTAGGGGATGTTTTTAACTCAGGGGTGACCCCTTGGCTGCTTTCTTGTGTTCCAGCCATGCTGAGTTTATTGTGGTTGGGCTGCTACTTTGCGCTGGTGGCTCTCGCTGCTGGTTTTGATGCAGAAAAGTGCAGAAATCTGCCGGTCACGTTAAACATCGTGTTGCTGGAGGACCAGGACTCACTCTGGAGCCTGAAATATGTAGAAGTCGCAGTGGAAAAGGCCATAGCCATGGAAAACAAGAAGAATGCAGAAAGTGGGTATCATACAGTTTTTCTTTCTCAAACAAGCTGTCTGTCCTACATGACACAATCCTGTGTGTAACACAATCAAGTGTTAACTGAATTAGGTCCAGTTGGTATATATGTATATATATATATATATATATATATGTATGTGTGTATATATATGTATGTGTGTATATGTGTATATATATATTTGTGTGTATCGCTGCTGTCATAACAAAACCTCGTATCTCCATTTTTGACAGTTTTCAGTTTTTGACGTAATTTGAAAGTAGCTGTTCTCCTTTACATTCTGTGTAAATTTCATGATGAATGGACCAACAGAAATGACTCAGAATTACTTGGGTTCCATTCACTTACATTAAAAGTAGAGTATGTTTTTTCCCTGTCTTAGTTGGTTGATAATTACATTACTATTACCAAAATGCAATCGATAAAGTAAGGCTTTGTAACGTGAGAGTTTCTTTTCCGATTTAAAATTTTTGTTATAGAACAATCAGTGAACATTGGATAATTCAATAACAGTATTGTCATTGTGTGAACTCTTTGGGAACAAGGACATGAAAATCACATGATTTCCATATGGTGAACGCAGTTTCCAGTTTTCATCACCAATGTCCAGTAAGAGCAACACTGGCTCCATGTTCCTGCTCCTCTGTGAGGATCTCTTTCAATCTAATACCTCTGCGTAACGTCTTGTTTTGAGGGCAGCTGTAGTTTTCATCTTTGCTGTTGCTTTTGTTGGTTTGCTGCTTGGTGATTTATCCACAGTTCTCCTGTGAGCCCTGTCCCCAAATTACTCATATTTCTGGCAAGTGGCATGTTTTCCTTGTAAATGCTTTGGCCTAGACATACTTAAGTGATAAACAAATGGCATGGCAGTAGCTGGAAATCCCTCTGGTTTCAGAGAGTCAGGAATGGAATATCAATAGAGTGGAATGAATTGTGCTTCAATTCTTCAATTTCATAACTGCATAGCTTCCGCATTTAAGTTAGGTTTAGTTTAATAGAAGTTACTTAATAATTTATGACAGTTGCTGGATGATAAGACTTAAGAATAATAACTGGATAATTCGCCTTCAGTTTAAGGAATTAAGGAAGTGACTAATGAGCTAGTTTACACATGTAATCTTAACAAACATAAGTGAATGAGTATGTAAAAACATTAGGAGTAGTCAGCATGGTTTTGTATTCCTGTTTTAAAAAATCCATAAAAAAAGTATCTTGTCTCATTTTGAAAGAGGTAGACAAAAGAAAATAGTCAACACAGAAATTTATGATAGCTATATGAGTGGAAAAAATAATCTTGAACAGAATGTATTTATAACTTTCAATAATTAGGTAATATTATTTTCATTCTGAACCTGAACCTGAACATTACATGATTTCCATAGAGTGAGTGCAGTTTTCAATTTTCATTACCGACATCCAGTGAGAGGAACAGTGGCTGCATTTTTTAACCAATGAGTATATATTGTATTTATCATAAATACAGTCAGTGACTCCACTGTCATTGTAGCCTCTTGATCTCACTCTCATTCATATGCCTTGTAGATTTTTGCTACAGTGAAGGCACTGAACTGGAGCTTTCCACTTTGCTGTTGTGGATGATTCAAAGAGTCAAACTATGAAAATGGCTTTAATAGTGATATTCTTAATTGATTGTGTTTTTGACATGTTCAATTTCATAGCCTCAGTATAATATAATTGTGTAATACATGCGTACATTGTTCATCTTTTAAAATGTGACTCTACAGGCATGAACTTTACAATTAAGGGAAACTTCCGTGGGTTTAACACAACATATTACCGACGCAGAGGCTGTGGGAGCAGCACCTGTGAAGGGGTGGAAATCCTCAAATCACTGCATGTGAGTTCTGCCGGTCTGTCTGCTTGGCCCATGTTAGCTGAACAATACAATTAATACACTCATGAAACAGTACACTTCATTAGAACATGGACAGTAATTCATAAGACTTATAATACACAAATGACTCTTAAGAAATGAAAACCTCATACTTTTGAGAAAAGCTCTTCTTGATTGTGGTTTCACCCCTAGATGTAGTGGTTATTGCCAGTAATAAAAAGGTTATTGTAATTATTGTTATTATAATGTTAAGTTTAGACTCTAACTTTCAGTCCATACCAGATGTGCTTTTGTAAGTAAAGGAGACATTTTATTAATATTTGAATCTGATGAAATATTACTGATGTGCGTACAAGCTTTTTTGCAGAAAGAAAAACCATCATTTACATTTTTGTTATTTTTTATCTTCGAAACAAAGGGAAGTTGGCGTTGCAGTTTTAGACCTGTCAATACAGAATGTAAATTTAATGTAATGTAATTGTGTTGAAATAGTATATAATGATAGTGATCATTTTAGACTTCTAAGGCTTTTGCTTTCTTGAATGGGTTTCCTTCATCTTTTTGCAATTTACAAAGTGTGCAGGATTGAAATTTTGATCATTTATACCATGCCATTTTCTAAAGTCCGTCCTCATTACTTTAATAGTCAGCATGGATTCAAAGCTGCATTTTTATTTTGTTTATAAAACTATGCAAGAGGTAGGCCTACGAAGAAAGAATGTCTCAAATCTTTAATTTGCCTTTTAAAAGAATTTATATGGCAATTTACCTTGATTTTTTTTTCAGAATACCAGTATGGTTGGCTGTGCCATGCTTGGACCATCTTGCACATATGCCACCTTCCAGTTGGTGGAGTGAGTTTTATCTGTCTTATTGTATTCACTTGCTGTCTGTTTGAATCTAAAACTTCAGTTGTAATTAATTTTTATTTCTTGCTTCACTGTCTCTCTTTTCTCATTAACAAAACTCATATTGGTGCTGATGAGAAGCTTATTGCTGCTGCTTTCACCCTATGCCCTATGTTAACAGAAGGCTCTTGTAGCTAAGCAATATAATGATCAAAGATTATTCCATGAACAATATAATGTTTTTTAATGACTTCCCATTAATACTGAATTGAGCTGAATCACGTGTTTATATACTGTGTGCATATTTTAGAATGTGGCTCAGCCAATTCGATTTCAGAACCTGACCCTAAAAATGTATTTTTCCACTCAGTCACTCATGATACTCCATGTTTGAAAGTGGGTATGATGTTCCTACTGTGAAATGTAAAGCCTGCGTCACGGCAGTTTTATAGGGATCTGTGTTGTTCAAAATTGATACTTCAGACAGGTTTGTCCATAGAACATAATCCCAAAAGGCTTAGGATTGTACAGGTGCTTTTTTGTGAGGTGAGCATTGATGTTTCTTTTTCTTAGCAGTGTTTTCTGCCTCATTCTTCCATGAATGCCAGTTCTGTGTAGTCATGAGCACTAACCTTTTGTGACTTTCTGGATGATTTACCTCTGTGCTCTTGGGCAAATTGTGGCTGGCTGGCCGCTCCTGGAAAGATTGACTGGTGTTTCTAAGGTTTTCAGTTTGTAGATAACAGCTCTCACTGTGGTTTGATGATGATAGAAACTCCAGACTGATAAATTTTAACAGCTTTTTTCCTCTGTTCGTTTGAATTTTCCTTTGATCACGGCCAAACGTGTGTACAAACATAGTGATGACTACGTCACTCTGATGGTAAACTTCAATATGAGTGAGGGTTACATTCAACAGGACTGGCTTCATTCAGCCCTGGCTGTGTCCAATCAGCTGAATTTCATTATCAATTAAATTAGTTAATTTGTCCCTTGAGCAACTAAGGGGGCAGTTACTTTTCCATGAATTCTATGTTGAATGTCTTTCCTCATTAAATTAAATAATTTTTTAAAAATGTGTTTTGCATTTGAAAATGTTCTCTTTGTCTAATATTACATTTTATCTGAAGATTGAAAAGCTTTAACTCTGACAGATATACAGTAATAGAGAAAATCAGACAGGGGGCGAATACATTTAATGGTATTGTGTATTAATGATCGCACACTTTGTTTCACCTGCTGTGTTTCTTGTTTTGCACATAAGTTATACTATATTTTTCAAGGCAGTTGAGTATTTTCAGTGAAAACGCGATGTACTGTAGCTCCAAATCACAGTCCACATCCATCTCATACATTTCTATTCTTTTTGATTTTTCCCCTTTTTTAAGATTTCTGGATATGTTTTTTAACCTAACTGCAAATTTTGGAAGCTGTGATCGAACCAAAATGGACGATCTGATGTTTTTCTAGCCCTGATTGCCAGGTTTTCAGAGTCAGCACTTAAGAAAAAGACAATTGTATTTTAATAGTTCATTTTAGTTTTCCTGTTGGCCGGTATGCTTTGTACTTATAAACAGGTGGGTCTTGGGGTGGAAAAGGTTGAGAACCCTTAGACTAGAAAGCAGGATATTTTACTTTATGCTGGTAAGAATCTGCACTGTAAAAAAGAAGCTGTTGAATTTTAAGGCAGCATGATGCACTAAGATTTACGAGTTTTCTCAACATCAGGTTAAGAAGGGGAAACAGCCTATGTTACATTTATGTCTTTTGGAAGACACCATCATCCAGAACAACATACAGTCTGACCATGCTGTCCCAAGCAGGGAATCGAACTTCAGTCTGCTGGGTGGAGAGCAGCAGGGTTACCCAGTGTAAGGCTAAGCTGTTTAGATTTATTTGTGAAACAGCATGGCAGTTCTAATGAGTAAACAAAAAACTTTTCTTCCTAGCTCGTCACCTCTATAAATTCTGTGGCAGCATCTGTTACAGCAGCTTATAACGCCGTTCATTGTTAAATAAGGTAACACACAAAGCTAGCAAATTCAGTGTTCATCAGTGGAAAACGACTAACATTAATGAGTGGTTAATCTATAGCGTTTAACTTATTCTGCCTAAATGACAAAGTTGAAGTCAGATTCTTGTTTGCCAGCTTCCTGACCAGATTTTCCCATTCCACCCTAAATGGTGTAGCAGTTACACTTTGGCGAAGGCATATGAAACATTAGGCTACAAATAGAACATAACATAACAGGACGAACAGCCTACATTACATTTATATCTTTTGGAAGACACCATCATCCAGAATGACATACGGTCTAACTGTGCTTTCCCAAGCAGGGAATTGAACCTCAGCCTGCTGGGAGAGCAGCAGTATTACCCACTACACCATACCAACTGCACAGGAAAGACAGCAATTTCATTCCAGCTGCTTGCTTTTTTGAATGGCATGGCAGGTAGGACTTCTGCCCTCCGCCCGGCAGACTGGAGATTGATTCCCTGTCCAGGCAAGCACATCATGGTGTACCAATAAACATCCCTGAGCAAGACTCTAATGCAACATTAGCTTACATATTTAACGTGATTAGACTGAGAGTCATTCTGAAAAAGAGTTTGTGCCAAATGCTGTAATATAGGCTTTTCTGAAAAATTTAGATTTTATTGCCAGCCTAACATTGGACAAACCAAAAGGAGCTGTTGAGAAAACTCAAAAATCTCAATGCATCATATTGCCTTAAAATTTTGAGTCATCTCAACAGTTTTTTAGGGCATGGATGGTCCTGTTCTTCTTTGATGTGTAAAACATAACCTCAGTTATTTCCATATCTGAAAGGTGGACTCATCAGACCACAATACATGATACCACTGCGCATCAGTCCATTTCAGATGAACTCAAGTCTAGAGAAGTCGGCTGCGTTTCTGGATGTTGTTGGCATATGGCTTCCGCTGTGCATAGTGCATGGTGATTGCTATCACAGAAGCATGCTGTTTTTTAATGCGGATCAACCCATGTTTACTCATAAATGATGAGGCCTTTCTTGGATGCTCCTTTCATACGCAAGCATGACTGCATCACCTGCGTAAGATGTTTTTTTTTTATTTTTTATTTTCACAACATTCCTAGTCTAAAATAACTCCGTCCCAACTTTTTGGAACATGTTGCAGCATCAATTTCCAAATGGGAGTATATTTACAAAAAACAAAGAAACTGATAAGGTAAAACATTAAATACCTTGTTTTTGCACTATTTTTGTTTGAATGCATGTGAAAGTGGATTTATAAATGATTTCTGTTTTTATTTACATCCCTCATTCTTTGCCAACGTTTTTGGAACTGAGCTTAGTATATGATTTAAATGACGTCAGTGCTATTTTTTGCAGCGTACTTTCCCAGGGCCCGTAAAGTATAGTATAAAGACTGAGTGAGCGTCATGGATTTACGGTCGTGCGCATGATAGTATTTGCTCAGGTGTGTTGTCAGTGGGGGCTGAAAATGGATGTGTAAATTCCTTCTGACTTTGAAGATTAATGGGGTCATATATGCTTTTTGTATACTTTATTTATTTCACCTTTTACCTTAGGTTTAGCCCATGCTAATGGTAAAAACATTGCTATTCAGTAAAATTAAAAAGACTAATATAATGGGGAAAAGTTAACAACCTTACCCACTTGTGTGATGAAGTGCTGTGAACCCAAATGTAAATTTTATCTGTTTAGGTTTCAAATGTGTTTATGTGTCAAAAATGTGATGCACTTTGATCTTCTCTGTCATATCTGAGATCTAGGTCAAACTGTATCGTGTTTCAGCTTCCTGCAGTGAAACAATCACACCATTGTATTTAACGTGTATCACCCTACTCGCTTCCTGTTGTTAAATTCTGTTTAGACTGTTTTGTTTATGTATGGACAAATGTACTCAATATTACACAATTCTAACAAACAGACAAACAACTAAATTCACTCTGGAACTTTCTAATGTACTATTCAGACTGGATTATTTTTTGATGGGGAGATGGAGTAATTTACCACAGAATGGCGCTGGAATCTTTGCTGAGCTGGGAGTGCACAGTCTGTAAAAATGACTGACATGGTGGATTTAGATGGGATAAAAATTACTGAGAAATGCTGGTAAAACATAACAAAACCTTTTCATGTAAATCAAATCCCATTCACATAGGGAAAGAGATAAACACTGGTAACCAGGGCCCTATGTGAAATGTAGCCTTTAATGATCACTCTGTTGATTTTTAGATCATAGACCTCACTCACATACTCAATCACTCACTCTCTCACTCACTTACTTACTCACTCACTCACTCACGATTAACAAGATTGTCCGCAAGGGGGGGCTGCTGGCACTCTAGTAACTAGAGTGAAAAGAACCTTTTGTTATGCCGGCCGTACACCAAACGACTTTTCAAGCGTTTTCACTGTCGCAGACAAATTTCCAATGCCGGAGTTTTGGTAGAGTTGCGTCATTTTGATTGTTTAGTGTGAGGGGGTCAGGGTGGCTGTCCTAAATCAGTCTTTTTCCCATCTTGATGCTACAACAAAAGTAACCGTGTTTAATATTATCGTAAGTTTTAAGTCTTGGCTCATGCAAATAGTGATGTGCTGGGGCGCATGAAGCTGGCAAGCGCATGTGTGTGACGCGATAGGGAGACTGCTTGATCTTTGTGCTCAACCAAAGCAGAGTTTCTGTCATTTAATTCCTGGCACCAAGTTTTCTGTTGTGCCCAACTTGTCAGTGTTCTGTTCTAGATTTACTGCATACAGCGTATGAGGTGGTTTTAACCCTTACATTAATGATATTGTGGTTTTAACCCTTACATTAAAGATAATTTTATAGGCATCAGGTCATTTAGTGTGGCGGGGAGCTGCACCAGCCAATCATTATGCTTTTTGTACATGCTTCTATAGAGGCAAGTGGCAAAACACAAAGTAAAAGTAAGTGTGTGTGGGCTGCTACTGCTTGATAAATTAGTAGAAATTAGTTAGAATTAGAATTTTGGTGATTTACTGGGACTCTCCTGTCTCCTGAATTTGTGGCTGCTTTGGACAGATCTACTGTACATTTCTTGCCTCTTATTTTCCTGAACTTTTTTTTCTTTGTGTTTCGTAAACACTGCCGCCCTCCATGGCTCTGTGATTGTTAGATGTCCTGCTCATAATTTAATTCTAACGGCAGGTCTGTATGGTTATAATGATTGCATCAGGGCTGCACATAATGGACAAACACGAGTATTGTGATAAATTGCAGTTGTAATTGGTTGCCATTTGCAATTTCTATATTATCTATATTATCTGTATTTCATTATCTATATTGCATTATTAAAAATTGCATTTGCATTGTCTTCTGTCATATCACTATAGCAAAGATTATCAAAGAATATATTGTGCAGCCCTACACTGCCTTGAGAAGAGATATAATAATAAATCTTCCGCATGTGTGATATGTTAGCTATAAATGTGTATCTGTGTGTGCCTCTCTCTCGTAGTCAGGAGGTGGGTTTGACTTTGACTATACCTATAATATCAGCGGGAAGTTTTGGGCTGTCATGTGACTACAAGGAGAAGCTGACTCGTCTGCTGCCACCAGCGCGCAAAATCTCCAACTTCTTCGTCCATTTCTATAATGAAACTTTTTCTGGCCTGAAAAGTCACTGGAGCACAGCCTACATCTACAAAAAAACTGAGAACTCAGAGGAGTGCTTCTGGTACACAATCTTATCTCTATCTCTCTTTTCCACATTTTCTCTGTCTTTCTATCTCTCTCTCTCTCTCTCTCTCTCTCTCTCTCTTTCTCTCTTTCACACACACATGAAACAGTGCGCAGTCCCCTATACCTCCACAAACTCACATATTACACATTTTAACTCTTTAAGATTTAGGCCTATTGTGTACTTACTAAAGGAGTTATTTGGTGAAAAATCAAATTCACTCAATTTTCCTCTAACCCCAGATGTAGTCAGTGAACTAAGAAATGTTTGTTGGCTGAATGTTGTTTCTATATTTTAGCGCTGGAGCTATGAGGCTAATGTCACCAACAAACACTAGAAGTCGATAATTATCTTTTTTGTAAGCACACCCCAGAAACTTCTCTCAGCCTGCTCAAACCATATTCATGTCTTCTTTAAGGTCACACAGACTTGTCAGTGTGATTTAGGATACTGCTTATTTTTCTGTGAATGATAAAAAAAATTAACAAAACATCATCATGTAGCTAAAGGCAGCGGGCACCTATTTTAGACAACAGGTGATGTGTCAAATGACATCTAGTGTTTGTTTGCAACATTAACCTCTAAATAAGCAAAGTTTGGGTACCAAACATGTCTTGCCTGATCAAATACATCTGGGTAAGTGAAAATTGTGTAAATGAAATTTTGTGCCAAACCATTCCTTTAATCTTAAGATTTATCAGTAACTATTAAACAATTATCAAAATTTTCAGTAGCACCTAAGAAACTAATATGTAAGTTATGTAGTTTTGAGAGTGAGTGTGAATTGAAATGTGGACGCACATATGGACCCAAGAGTTTAATGAGTTAGCTTGCAGGCCAAAGCAGTACAATACACATGTCTGAGACTCTGTCTTGCTCCTGCAGGTACCTTAACGCGCTGGAAGCGTCGACAGTTCAGTTTTCCAGTCAGATCAGCAGAAAGGTGCTCCGGAGCAGAGAGGAAATTATCCCTGTTCTCTCTGACGCCAACCGGCACAGCAACAGTGAGTAATAATCCAGTATTTTCATTATACTTCGTACTCAGATTTTGTATTTGACAATGTGGCTAAACCTTATCCAAACCTCTACTCAGAGCAGCCCAGTACTGGTGGAACTGCACTGAGGAGAAGAGGAGCCTGACCAGTTTTCTATCCAGCTCACATCAATAGATATCAATAACCATTTTAAAAACAAGACATTCTTGTTCCTTGTTTACTATGTTCATATTGTTGGTGTTATTCTGCTCTGCCCAGACAAATAGTTTAAAAAATGTTTGGTTGGTCTTAGACTTTTGCCCAGTACTATATGTTTTAAATTAATCTTATATTGCTTGACTTGACCCCATCACTGACAGACTAAGTTAATGGTGTTTGGAGTATTGAGTCATTCTGGTATTTAAAGACAATACATGTTTACCTTAAAAATGTCCATTTACATGATTTGGGTGTAAAAGGAATTGTCTTAAGTACCAAGTATTTATAAGTAAACCCTAAAACTGTTATGTGTATATTGTAATTTTTGTGATTATTTTTACTGCCATAAAACGTTTTTGTGTTTCATGATGTACTTTTCTTTTGTACATAAACAATTCACTGAGAAACTTCACATCTGAGAAAAGCTGAGCATGCCAGAATAGATTCTCTTGTTGTGAGGTGGTCACAACTTCAGTTTCCATCTCCTCCTGTTTTTTTATCTAGTTTTCATCACATGTGGAACCCCAGATGACATTTTCTCCATTAAGAACGGGACAAATGTTAACAAGGACATTCTCTTCATCCTTATAGACATTTTCAAGTGAGTCTGCTCTGTCTGTTTCCATGTTTAACCCATTTAAAACCAAGAACTAAATTTACTGTGATAAGAAAAATACTACAGAATGTGTGACGAGATTTTTCATTTGAAAGGATTTGAAAGAAATCCTAAGATTTGTGTTCAGGCAAGCTCAGAGGACATATGGGCCAAAAGAGCAAAAGAAATTTTCACATAAGAACACTGTGGTTGGTTAGGGCATAGGTCACCTGGAAGTTTATAGAAGCATCCTAATGCTTATGTGAGAACTCATCCATTGGGCCTGGAGAAAATACATTTCACTGTATTCTGCTGAAATCTGAAGTTCACTTCACAACTAACATGCACCACTGCATTTTATGTTTAATATTTTTTACCACAAAGATTTAGATTTGTGTTGCTTTATTAATAATATTTTTAATAATAATAATAAGCTCTCTATCTCTCACACTCTCTCTCTGTCTCTATCTACAGAATGGAGTGTATCTTTATTCAGATTTAATTCAAATAAATAATTCAGTGTTTGTTATACACCAAGGAGGCACAAAGTGAATTTATCATAAGTTTTTTCTTCTGTTCAGTAATGGCTATCACCTTAATGAATCATCATATGACTACATGAGGGACGTACTAGTGCTGACCATGCACGATATGAGGAACTACACTATGATTGAGAACTGGACTGACAATTCCACTGTAAGTGCACACATATACTCACTCATGCCATTTCTCTGGTCTGTTTCACCACACTAGTGAAGTGAATTACCCTTGAATTTCAGTCCTAACTTTGAGCAGTTTATAAAAATAAAATGTACAAGGATCATTCTACCGAAGTGGTTCAAAGTCAGAGCTGAAAACTGATTTCAGACTTTTTACTGACTTGGACTTCAGACAAAAATCATTTTGCTTTAATGACCTTATGCCTTAAATATCGTTATTATATTAAAATAAATGATTGAACATTTCATTTTGTCACTACTAATGCAATATTAATGCTTCTAAAACTTTATCAGTAGTGACTATTTTGGTAGTGACAATTTTGGCTAATTTTGAGCGTGACTCAACTCAACACTAAACAGTACATGACTAGCAAACACAACTTCGAACAGTTGTACACAAAATCATATGTTTATTAAAACACAAAAAAGTTTACTTAATTGCAGAAAATATGTGTTTCGGTAGTGACAATTTTAAATGTTACACACTGAATTTCAGACTTTGGGACACATTTACTTCAAAACAGTGGGATCTCACTGCTCACCTTGTGGCCATGAGGGACAGGGATGCAGCCTCACTTCCTGCTCTAAAATGCAGGGGTATGGCTAAAATCAAGCTTCACCTATGGACTAGAACTCTCTGTATTTCAGTAGTGACATGAAATCAAAAAAAGATTTTTGTTATTCAAAAATTAAACACGACAAATTAAAATCTTTAAATGTCACATTAAAATAAATCAAAATGTTATTTTAAAAGACAATGGTGTAAAAAAAAAGAAAATTGTAAATATTATTTTCACAAGTTGAAAGTCAGGGGTAAGGGTATGGAATGGCCACCACCAAATAGAAAGAATCCTATAAATAATGATTTTATGTATATTTAGCTTATTACTAATTCATTTGGGTTTAAATAGACCATAACATAATCCTTGTAAATATCTAAAGTGTGAATACTTAATTGTTATTTACACTGGGACCACAGTTTGCTAATTTGGTAGAATGGTCCATATAGAAAATTACAAATATCGAGAGTTGTTATATGAACAAAAGAAAACAATAAACAAAATCGAGTGGAATAGGGTGGATCTGATTATAGCTGCAATAAAATTCTGCAGGAGAGTCAGCAGGAACTGAACTTAGTAAGACAATGAGTTACTGCATGCAAACAGTAAACGTGTCTCAAAGTCAAGGCTGCGAGGTCTTTCTAGCACTGGAATACAAAGGCTTCTGTTCAGCGCTTGGTCACGCTCAATCGAGACGGCCTTAGTAGGCTGTATTGACATGTGAGTGCTTGGCTTACTGATGTAAGCAATGCAAAAAACACACATTTTCTTCTGCTGGTTCATCATGTTCTTTAAAAACTACCGCATGCTGTCAACATTAACATTTATTTTACAATAACTGTTTGTACAACTTACATTTGATTACAAACTCTGGTTCTGGTGCTGCAGCAGCTTCCTCACTTGTTCTCTTTTCAAATAGTTTTCAAAACTTGTGTGTGTAATTGAAGGTCTGGAAGGATACACGAGCTGAGCCCTCAGAGTTCACCGAAACATAGGGCCAGTTTCTAAACTGCATAAAAGATCCTACAAAATCGGATGGCTTTCATTAACATAACAGCTGAGTAATTAAGTTATATTGCTTTATATGGCTTTGAGACACGTCTGTTTAGTCAAAGCCTTTTGTTTGGTGTTCAACCCCTGTATTCTAAAAGCATGTATGTTGACCAACACTTAAGTTACTCACTTTCATAACTAGATACTGTACTTTGTAAAAGTCAGAGGGCAACCCTTATTTATTTAATTTCAAGTCAGAGCAGCCAAAGCACAAGATATAAATTTTTCAGCAGATTTTTAAGGAGATGGATAGAGGATTAGATATAAGATAGTCCACTTGCATAAGAAAGGGGAAAGTCAAAAGAAAATAGATCTCAACATAATTGAATGTGTTTGAGATTACTTGAATCAAGAGTAGAAGAAAATGCAACCAACCTCTAAGACTGAACTTTGGAGTTGTGGAAGAATGTTCCTGTAGAATTCTTTGAAAAACTGAAAGAAAATCTACTGAAAAGAATACAATTTGTAATAAAGACAAAGTTTGGACATACTAAATACTGAAAATGATGTTTTATTTAGTAGTTGAGGTTTCTGTATAATTTTCTGATAAATATATGTTTTCTGTTATTTCCCATTTCATTGTAATGTGAATATCTTGTACTTAGTGGCAGTTTTAAATAGAAATTAGTTGCATGAAGGGTGGTCTCTGGATTTCACACAGTATTGTAATGTACGTATTAGTTTCTTTGTAGTTTCCCAATTAATTTTATTAGTCACTGAATGATGAGTCTAAAGATCAATAACTGAATAATAAGATTGCAGATGAGGTACTAAATAAATATAAATGATTATCTATAATCTCTTTAAACAATAAAACTGAAACGTTTGGCCTGTAATGTTATGCATACGTAAGAATGACATTAAGTCTGTCTGTCTGTCTCTCTCTCGCTCTTTCTCTCCCTTCCAGGTTCTTAACGATTACGTAGCAGGTTACCATGACGCTGTGCTCCTCTTTAGTAAGGTGATGAGGAGTATGTTAGCTCCAGGGAATGGGGGTTTAGCAAGCACACTCAACATCACTGGAGACAACCCCTTCAGAAACGTCAGCTTTGAGGGTACAGTGCTAGTTTTTTTCCACGTTATCTCATGTTCTGATTCTTTTGATGATTTCTTTGCGCCCCACAAAGGCAAAAAGGCAAAGAGCGGCAGCTATGCCAACAGTAAAAATTCAAAGATTTGTTGCTGTCCGGCCAAATATGTTAGGGCTTCCAATTAAAGGGGGCGGGGAGGGCTTTTGGGGGCTCAGGCATGGGAGGTCTAAGAGGCTGAGCACTGTGCTAAGAAAGCATGACAGTAGAACATTATAATTTTCCTCAGAGAATGTAAACACTCCTCAAAGAGAAAATATTAGGGAAGTCCTGATAGTTTGATGTTCAGTTTGGATTTGTGGAACAAGTGCTGGTCACCTTGATGCATTTTCAATTGTTGTGACATTCCATGACAGTGTGCTGATTGTTAGTAGATAAGCCTGTCATTTATTGACTGCGAGAATGGATCAGTTTGATGTAGCTATGCTTTTTAAGGCTGATAGTGTTCATCTTAAGTATACATTTGTTAGGTGCCTAAAACTTTTACACAGTCCTGTTTAGGGCTGCAAAACATGGACATTAATGCAGTGTTCTATAAAGTTGCTGGACACCACAATGGCGATATGAGAAGCAATAAATTACAATTAAATTAGCGTGCCGTTCTGTACACTCTAAGCATTTTACACATAACACTGAGAGTGAAAACATTCCTCACCGTTTAGGCATTTTAATAGGATAGAGTAATTTTTGAGCTGTGCACGTGAGCATTTTGTAATTGGGCATTTTGCCAAATATTCCTTCTGCGCTGGGGAGAGAAAGGTTTCAGGCCTAGGAAAAAGAAAAAACATTTGTTGGGCTTCTGATGCTGCGTTTCTGCCCCTGTAATTATGTCACATTGGTGCTGTGCACGTAAGGTAATTGAGCTGCTCTGTCATTGCAGCCCTTAACAATGTGTTTTATTGCGGAAACTCATATAGCAATAATGGCAGAAAAATAATTCATGGTGCACCCAAGTACTGACTCTTTTTTCCCTTTAAAATTAATTTTACTTTGTGTTGCATACTAAATAAAATTTAGAAATTCACTGAGCATACATTGAAATCTTTTTATATATTTTCAGGTTTTATGTACCTTCAAACTTTTGTCTAAATTTTTCAGTACTGATGCAGAAAATTCTTTTTGTTGACTGAGCAGTAAAAAACAATGTATTTGGACTGTCTGAAGTTATTACCTTTAACAATACAATTACAATAAAAATAAGATCTACAATTGACTGCCAGGGTAGTGGTTTATATACAAGGTAGCATTTATTACAAGGCCAAATTTATGGTCTATGTCATCTCTCTTTCTCTCTCTCTCTGTTTATGGGCCAAATTTGAATTTGTTTATCACTCTGGGTCTTCAAACAGTTTCACTGCACCAGTTTATTATTGCCATTGCCCAACTCTGTCTGTATATATATATATTTCTGTGTGCATGTGTATGTCTGTGTGTTTCTTCACTAATGTGTTTAAAATCATAGAAATAATTTTTAACACATTAGTGTGCTTGTTTGTGTGTGATTGTAAAAGTGTGTTTTTGCATGTTCGTATGTGTGTATTTATGACCAGGAATTGGAGGTCATTATGTTTTGGATGAATATGGAGACAGAGATATGAACTTCTCATTGATGTACACAACAAGCACACATCAGGTCAGTCTGAGGAGAGGTGATGCTGTTACAGAATCATAGTACATTTCTAGCGTCTTATCATTTTGCTGTAAGTATCAGAATGTATTTACAAAGGCAGCATAGCGATTGACGCTTTAACAGGCTGGTTTTATTACACACTTCTATAACTTAAGAATAGCTCAGCCAGTTTTCATTGAAGTCCCTGAAGTTATGGAATAATAAGCCTTAGTATGTAATAAGCCTGGGATTCCAATGGGTTAAAATCTACTTATATAATTATTTACAACTTAACTACTGTTGAATTATTAATCTTAAAGGAATAGTTTGGCAACACAATTAAATTTTTACAGGTTACAGTCGTACTGTGTCCTAAACCACATTAACAAGTGAGCGCAACCTTAATGAAGGCCTGGATGTGGTTTTAGTGGGCTGAGAAATTTTGGGCATTTCCAAAAAAAAAAAAGATTGCAGGTATTGCAGCTATTGACTTCTAGTGTTTGATAGCAACATTAGCTTCACAGCTCTAGTTTTAAAATAAAGAGCAACAAACATGTCTTGACTGGTTAACTTCTTCTAGGCTAAGTGGACAATTATGTAAATTTCCTTTAAGGCTTATTGCTGAGTAACTACTATGAAACTAATTTGTAGTTTATGACAACGATGAATTAAAGTTTGGACCCACGTACGGCCCGCATGCCAGAGATGTTATAGCATAGATATGTTTGTAGCCTTGAAAAAAGTTGAAAGTTTAAAAAAACTAATTGACCATCCTGCTTGAAACCTGCATTTCTGACCCCTGTAATCTTATGAGCAAACATACAAACTCATCTGGTTAAAAATGACATTTGATCTTTCATTCTTTTTGCTGTTTTCTCTAGTTTAAGACGTTGTTTGTGTTTGACACCTCCACCAACAAAACCACGCTAAACCACAGTAATCCTGACCTTCCCTGGCGTGGCTCTCGTCTGCCTGATGACAAACCTGAAAATGGTAATAATGTGGCCTTTTTCATTTTCATTTGTGAATAATAATGAAATATTACATAACATACTACTGGAGGGTAACATGCTACTGTTTTGTAGATTAAAATTGATTACTTGAAAAAGAATTTATTACAATTTACATTCTTCATGAATCAGCTTAGTATTTAGTTTGCAGTTTGAATGACCAACAGAGTATCTGCAGGTCATAATAAAGCTGTGTTTGGCAGGCTGAAAGTGCTCAAATTGCTTTTGTGTGTGTCACTGAAAAAGAGGAAATAGTTGTCAGTTTAGATACAGCAGGCTCTCACAAATGCACATATGTTTGTGGCTGTAGTTTGAATGTATATGAAGTTAAAGTGTGTATGTAGTAAGAGGTTTTGTTTGAATAGGTCTTATCTGAACAGATCTGCAGACAGCTGATAGTCTAACAAGCCTCTTCAAAAGCTTTAAGATAGGTTTTACCAAATGTTTGCACTGCAGTATAGAAAATAAATTACATGCTGCCTGACTTTCCTTACAATCCAATCGCACCACCACTAGTTTGGCGCTAACAAAACATTGAAATTCCCATAGAATACCTAATGGAAATTAGCATTAATTATAGTGGTGGTACTCTTTATACATCTTTTAGAAGTGTTTATCAGTCCCATGTTGAATTTTATGATACATAAAAACAAAGCCTGATACAAACATTTTTGTGCTTTTTTGGCCACCTGGTATTCTATTCATATCTATATCTATCTATCTATCTATCTATCTATATATATATATATATATATATATATATATATATATATATATATATATATGAAGTATTTTGATTTTTCAGTGAAGTATTTTGAAATCTCTGCACAGTTTTTATTCTGTTAAGACCATTTTCATTGTTTGATTATTTGATTAATTGCCAATAGATTACTTGATTACTCATATAATTAATAGTAGTAGCCTTATTGTTTTTTTCTACTGTGATACTTATATATGATTTTTTGTGTATGTGTGATTTATCTTACAGGCCTGCAGACGCATGATATCATTGTGATTGTGCTTGCCATTAGTGTTGTACTTGTCACTGCTGTTGCTTTGCTCTTCTATAGGTACGAGAAGCATGCTTTATAATATAGACTTTCCAAAGTATTTCCAAATACAGAAATGTTATATAATAAGTGTTTTATGTGTTATTATATGTTATGTGTTTATTAATGTGTTCAAATGTATTTGAACATATAAATATTGTCACAGTTCAAAAAAAAGTATCTGAAAAATGGTATCTTCACTAGAGAATGCAAAAATGTTTTTACTTTTTAATATAAGTTAATGTAAAGAGATTTAATTCTGAGCAATTTTAGAGCATTTCTGCTGGTCCATTCATCGTGAATTTTTCACACAATGTAAAGGGCAGCCTCTTCGCTCAAATGATTCAGAAAAATGGAAATCTAAAAAATGGAGATACAATACGCTACCTATGTAACAGTTTGGCCTAACTAATATCACATGAGCATTACCCTTTACAGGGGTACAGTATTTCAGCTTTTGAGGTCAAGTTACAAACGCAGTGGCTGGAGCATAATAACAAATTGACGTGATACCCACTTATGGAACAGGCTGTAATGATGTTTCTACTGTGTGCTCATTTTGCTCAAATGTTTCTCATACGTTTGTGACTGTACTTTGTGTGTGTGTGTGTGTGTGTGTGTGTGTGTGTGTGTGTGTGTGTGTGTCTTCAGACAGAACAGGAAGCAGCGCTACAAGCAGAAGAAATGGTCTCATATAAGCCCAGACCTCATCATACCAATAGACTACAGAGAGACAAACCTCATCTCTCTCAAAGTAACACACACATACACACACACAAACAGACTGATAACAGTAATCCACTTAAGCCAATACATTGTTTCTCCTAAATTTTATTTTGGTCAAAAAATAATCAATCGTCAGATGCTATGAAGCGAATGTTACCTACCATCCTAATATCTGTATCTCACTCCAAACTCCAGTGATTTTACCATAGTTTTAGGGGTTGTTAACTGTGATGTGAAGTGGCAACAAAATACTGTATAATAAAACACATTAATGTTCAATTAAAATATATATGTATTTATCAAAATACAGGAAACAGTTCTTCCACCAAGCAGTGTAGTTTGTTAACAGTAGACTGTGGTTGCTGATCAACTTAATGGTCAAAATTATTCCATAATCAGCACAATGGTTTTAGTAACTTGTTGCATTTATACAGAATTCTAATATGTATGTCCAGTATTTTACAGCTTCAAACATGATTCAATCAGATTATATCCCTGGAAACATCCACTTTGTAATGGTCCTTACAGCACAATCCCAACCCTGCCGGAATTTGAGTTGAAAGCAGACTGATTATGAAATTATGTCTTCCCATAACTCAGAGAGAGGGAAGTTGTCAATGTTGTCTGGTTGTGGGCTGTGTTGCACATATCACGTACATGAATTATAAGTATAATATAACTATTCATAATCATTCTGACAACATATTCTCACTCTGTATATGTATCTTTTCTCATAACATCATTTTTATTCTCTTAGGTATGTACACTCTGTGTATTAATAATCATTTATGTTTGTTTTGTTTCTGTCTTTGTCAGATTGATGAGGATAAGAGGAGAGACAGCACCTATCAATTCCGGAGAGGTCGCTACGACAAAAAGGTCTTACTTTTTGCCTCTTTGTCTGTATTTGTATTTATTTTTCTGTAGTTATAAAGCCAAGCTAAGTCTGGACAGTGAATGATTATACAAACGCAATTCCAAAAAGGTTGGGGCAATAGGAAAAATGCAACTAAAAACAGACAGCAATAATTTTCAAATGCTTTTTGACCTGAAATCAACTTTAAACAGTACACAGAAAAGATATTTACTGTTTCAGCTACTTAACTTTATATTTTTATATTAACGCTTATTCTGAATTTGCTGCCACCAACATGTTCTTAAAAAAGTTGCAACAGGGGCATTTTTACCATTGTGTTATATCACCTTTCCTTATAACAACGTTCAGTAATCGTTTGGGAACTGAGGACACCAACTGTGGTAGTTTTTCCATTATATGCATTACAGAAGCATGTAGGATTTTAAGGCAGTGCCGTCTGAAGAATGGAAGGTCACATATAGGTCACAAAAGTAGTTTTTGGCCTTGATCTTTACAGACAGAGATTTCACTCTCTCAATCTTTTAATAATGTTATGCACTGTAGATGATGAAATGGTGTTCTTAAGCTGTTGGACTATTTGCTCATACAGTTTCTTGCAAAGTGTTGACTGAGCTTTCGTGAATGCTCTTTTTATACCCAATTACGATAGCATCATGTTACCTGTCTACCTGTTTACTGGTGGAAAGTTCCAGAACAGGTATTTTTGATCATTCCACAAACAGTTCCCAGTGTTACATTGCCTCTGCCCCAATTTTTTATAGAATGTGTTACAGGCATCAAATTTGGAGTTAACATATATTTACAAAAAATAATAAAGCAAAACATTAAATATTTCTTCTTTGTGCTGTTTTCAATTAAACACTTGTAAAAGACAGTTTACAAATCACTCCTTTCAGTTTTTATTTGCATTTTACCTACTGTCACAACACTATGGAATTGAGTTTGTAGATGTGACCTACACTGAATAGATGCCATCTTTTTAGTGGGCTTCATACTATTAATATAATTCCAATTTCTCAAGAATATATAGTTGACTAAGGGTGTAAAAATGCATACTGATCAACAGCATCAATTCTGGAATGTCAGAGTCATTTATAATCGATCAAAGTAATACCCGTAAATGTATGTGCTTAAATGTTTTCAAATGTGGAAAACCTTATTAGTATTGTTTCAGTTATGTTTATTTCTCTACTGTACAAACATTGTGTATCTGTGAAAAGTCTAAAAGAATTCCCAAAAGTCTTTCTAAAATAACCAAATGGTTGTGAACTCATAGATACATACATACATACATCATCTAAACCGCTTATCCTTCTGGGTCGCGGTGGGGTGCTGGAGCCTATCCCAGCTGTCATTGGGCGGAAGGCAGGATACACCCTGGACAGGTTGCCAGTCCATCGCAGCGAACTCATAAATGGTTCACCCAAATTTATGACATTTGTGATATTTGTGTAGTCCATCTGTTTCTCTGCATACTTTGTTATCCCCCTTTCACCCTGTTCTTCAATGGTCAGGACCCCACAGGACCACCATAGAGCAGGTATTATTTGGTCATTGTGAGCACTGCAGTGGCACTGATGTGGTGGTGGCATGTTACTGTGTGTGTGTTGCACTGGTCTGAGTGGATCAGACACAGCAGTGCTGCTGGAGTTTTTAAACACGTCAGTGTCACTGATGGACTGAGAATAGTCCACCAACCAAAAATATCCAGACAACAGTGTCCTGTGGGCAGTGTCCTGTGACCACTGGTGAAGGACTAGAAGATGACTAACACAAACTGTGCAGCAGCAGATGAGCTACAGTCTCTGACTTTACATCTACAAGGTGGACTGACAAGATAGGAGTGTCTAATAGAGTGGACAGTGAGTGGAACTCCAGCAGCACTGCTGTGTCTGATTCACTCGTAACAGCACAACACACACTAACACTCCACCACCACGTCAGTGTTACTGCAGTGCTGAGAATGATCCACCACCCACAGAAGTCTTGCTCTGTGGTGGTTCTGTGGGGGTCCTAACCATTGATCAACAGTGTGAAAAGGGGCTAACAAAGTATGCAGAGAAACAGATGGACTACAGTCTGTAATTGTAGAACTACAAAGTGCTCTAGCTTTTCCTCTATGGTAAGCGGAGATGATAAAATGAATAATAAGTGTAGACACAAGGATGTATTCCTAATAAAGTGCTTGGTGAGTGTATATTCTAGCAAAATTCTCAATACCCTCTAATCACTCTCTACCTCACTTTCTCTTTGTCTCTCTCTTTGTATCTCTATGTCTCTGGCTGTCTTTATTCTTTCTCCATCTTTTCTGTCTTACCCTCATCCCCCCCTCTCTCTTTCCCTCTCTTAGCCTGTCATCCTTAAAGAGCTGCGGCAAACAGATGGAAATTTCTCAGAAGACCAGCGCATTGAACTCAATTCTGTAAGTTAAAACTCTCCTCCTCTTCTTTCTCTCTGTTATTGACCCATGTGCCTAATCTGTCCATTATTCACACTTTTAAAAACGTGTCTGTTATGAGATGTTCCTTATTTACACATCCTGGCTGGCTGGCTGGGGTATATCTGCCTGACTGACTATTAGGTCAAAATGTGATTCAGGTTATTTGTTCTATATAATATTCAACTGTGTAAATAGAGGCCATTAGATTGGTGTGTGAACATGATATAAAACTGTCCAGGAAGGCTGTTGTATTTCAGCATTTTGACACTTTACTCCGTTCATATCACAGTTGATTTGTATGATGTTGTTATTGTTGTTTTGTCATTTCATTCTCTATTTTGACTCAGTTCACACATTCTTCAGTGTTACTATATCAATATCACTACTTATTCTCATTCAGAGTAATCAAAGTCCTTATAGGAAGGTCTGACCACTCTGCAGACATTATTTAGGTTATTTCCAGTTTTGTAAGCCCAGGCTGCAGAGAAAGACCTATAAACCCAAAGCTAAAAGCCACCTTAACATTTCAAAAACGTATTAGAAATCACTACTAAGGTAAAAGGTAAAATCTGACAAAAATTGCTTAAATGATTTGTAGCATTTGTCTTAAATGACATATATTTCAGGTTATTTTTTCAGGTATTTTCTGGTATTTTTCTGGGATTGTTCTGGCTACTATGCATATGACCACAAGGCTTTTTCCATTTGCATCTTTACCAGAAGTTCGATTGGCTTTTTCTATTGTGTGGCGCAACTTTCTTCTCTTCCTTTATAATGTCTCTGAAGTAATGCACTGACTCAAATATGTACATCACATATACACCACATGATAAAAAATGTAAAAAAAATTTTTGGCATTAACTGTGTTGATTAAATCATGAACACATTTAAATGAAGTGAATTCAGTGCAGAAAAAAACAATGGGAAAAATAAACATGGAGATAATTGTTGATTGTTGGTTTTATTGATTATTGAATTATTAACATTTCCATTTCTTTTTCCCACTCTCTCTCTTTCTCTCTTTCTTCCAGCTTCTCCGGGTTGATTACTATAACCTGACCAAGTTTTATGGTACAGTGAAGTATGACTATGGAGTGTTTGGCGTGTTTGAATTCTGCGAGAGAGGTTCCCTCAGGGTAACACACAAACACGCATACGTTTGCTCTCTCAGTCTTTCCTACTCATCTGCATGAAACATTGTAACAAACCACACAGATACTCCACACATCGGTATATAACAATGGACGTCATTGTCGCTTTAATTTTTACCTAATGCACGTGCACAAACTCACATGCACATAACTTGGGATTTCTTGGAATTGTGTAACAGTGCATACAAAGCACTTTCCATTCAAGGATAACAGTTGCAATTTACATTTAGTAGAAATTGGTGGTTCATTTACTGTAACATATTTATATATTTATTGTGTTTGTTTTTGCTTCTTTATATCAGTATGTCCTCAATGATAAAATCTCGTATCCAGAAGAGAGTTTTATGGACCTGGAGTTTAAAATATCTGTCATGTATGATATAGCAAAGGTATGTACAGTAATCCAGAGAAAATATCACTCATAAGGGACATAAATGAGCATATCTTCACTGTTGTAACAAAAACTTGCACCTCTTAAACTGTAACTGAAACGTTGAGTATTAATGTTATGTAATAATATTATATTACAACTACATTTGGACCATTTTTATTGGTCTGTTTGGACCATTTATGTTTCATGTCATGAAATGATCACACAATGTAAAGCGTGGTTGCCACTTTCAAGTAGTTGTCAGTGTTTCAATGTTTTGACATGACAGCTGTGATAAGGCACTGTAATGGACAAGGTTCTTTCCAGAGCTAAAACATAATTAAACCTTAAATGTGTGCTTTGTGTCTCCCTCTTGTGGCGACATCAGGGCATGTCCTACCTGCATACCAGCAATATAGGGATGCATGGGAGGCTCAAGTCTACTAACTGTGTGGTAGACAACCGCATGGTGGTCAAAATCACTGACTTTGGCTGCAACACCATCCTGACACCAGGAAAAGGTTTGTCTTTTTCATTTTGTTTGTATGGTATTCTTTTCTATGAGATTTTTCCATTTATTACTAATGTTAACTTTCATTTATTTCTACACAAAGAATTAGTTTAGTAAGGGGGCTTAGGTGCTTGCACTTAAAAAAGCCATGCATTGAATTTAATGTACCTGACTTAAATGTTTTATTTTCACATGAATAAAGTATACCAGCACAGTTTGGCCTTTATGTTTATTAACTTGAAGTTTGAATCAAGAGCATTGCTTTTTCATTGTTTCATTGTTCTCACTCTCTTTTTCCCACTTTCTCTTTTTTTTTCTCTCTCTCACTGTCGGCCTATCTCCTCATTTCTTTTTTCTTATCTCTATTCATGTGTATCTCTCAGACTTGTGGACAGCTCCAGAGCACATGCGTGTGCAGGGTACCTCTCAGAAGGGAGATGTTTACAGTTTTGCCATCATTGCTCAGGAGATTATGCTGAGAGAGTGTCCTTTCTACAATGAGAGCTGCACTGATATAGCAGGTAAAACCCAACACACTGATCTAAAAACACGTCATTATATTACAGAAATCAAACATGATTTGCTTTTGATGTGGATGATTTTTGATCAAGTAAGACATTAACTCTGTCAGACTCTACAAGTGTCTCTGCAGCTGCAGTGTTCATAACAGTGAGATTGTTATTGGTTATTAGCAACACTGACTACAAATTGTAAGATTTGAGCTTTGAAACTTCTTTCCAAAACTGAATTTGATTATTTAAGCATGGCTGTATACTACAGACTGAAACACAACTCAAGACTGCCAGTGATGAGTGTGTGTAACTCTTGGACTGACTCCATCTCAGTCTGTCTACATATGCTACCAAATATATTGTAGTAGTGTAGGTGGTTGCCAAGCTGTGTAATGTGAAAGCAAATATAATACAGTTTACAGACACTGGTTCTGGCCATATCAGTATTCTCAATTTTTCCTCTCATCTCTCTCTCCAACCCTCTTTCACTCTCCTTTCCTGTCTTGTCCTCTCTAGAGAAGCTGTACAAGGTTCAGTGTCCAAGTGGTCCCACCATTTTTAGACCAGATCTCAACTTTGAGACCGCTGGAGAGAAAGAAGTAGAGGTAAGAAGAAGTCTTTAACAGAACTAGCTGTTTGATATGGCCAAAAAATTAAAGTACATATTTATTGATAATTTTTATATGTTTTTTCTAAATGCTGAATGTAAGGTCTACAAAGTTTTTTGAAAAGGTATCTAATGTAAGAATATCACTCCAGCTCCACAATATGGAGGACGTGTGGCCTTTTTCTGTTACAGTGTCGTCTTTTTCTGAAGTGTTTTCCTCAAATCTATACCCTTTTACATAATTCACATTTTTGCTCATTTCGGTTTAACGAATAGATTTGAATTATTTTTTATTTTCATAAAGTTATAATAATTTTTATTGTTTAATGACCCAGTTCTAACACACACACACACACACACACACACACAGGCAAAATACATACACTCATGCACCATTATCCAGTGGTTTCTAACCCTGCACATGCTCACTCATGCAAACATTAGTCCATGCTCTAATCTAACACTTAAATGCAAGCTGAAGTCAAACACTGTTGGAAAATAACTCTCCAGGAGTCACTTTCTTTCATGGAATTCAAGATTTTAACATATGTTTGTCCATGTCAAGGTGTATGTGCTGATTAAGAGCTGTTGGGACGAGGATCCGGAGAAGAGGCCGGACTTTAAGAAGATTGAGAACATTTTGGGGAAGATTTTCAGGTTTGTTCAGCTAAACGGACAAGCTGTATACTGTAAATTCCAGCATGTTTTATTGTGACCGAAAGACATACTTACCACAGTTTCACCTTTTCTGTTCATTTTTGTTACTGTACAACCTTAACTTTGTTACTATACTATACTATTTTGACAAACAAAAGAAGTTTTTGTATTCGCACAGTAACCTGAATAACCAGGCCAATGCTAGCTACATGGATAATCTGATTCGGCGGCTGCAGATGTACTCCCGTAACCTGGAGCACCTGGTGGAGGAGAGAACTGCCCTGTACAAGGCAGAAAGAGACCGAGCGGACCAACTCAACTTCATGCTGCTGCCAGGGTTAGTTACACACATACACACACACATACTGGCTTTCTGAAAATTACATTATGTCTAAATGTTGAATATTTAAAATTACTGTTGCCTGACTTTCACAGACAAAACATTATACACATACAAGTGTAACATGCAGTGTGATTCTTTGTAATCTTGAGTGCAAGAGGTTTATTTGACAGACAAAACTTGTAAAAACATAAAACTGATAATGTAAACAGTAGATCTACATCAAGGAACGACTATAAAGCACAACAGAAACAAAGCATTCAAAGGTCACTGGGAGGAGCAAGGCTTAGAGAATACTCAGTGTTTATGACCTGTTTCAATAGTCCAGACTGAGCAGAGCACAATGGGCCACAGGTGTTAGTACTCAGGTGCTCAGGTAGTCAATACAGTTTCTGTTCAAGGCTCTGCGTCTGCTTATTGCTCCTTTCATTAAAAGGAGTGCACATTAGTAAGGGAAGCTAATAGTTTGAGTTTTTGTGGACATAAACAGCCAGAATGCACCTAAATAAACTTTATATGGGTTATATGCAGTCACCATAACATTGTCATTCTCCAGCCTTTTTGATAGTCAGCATGTTGCATGTTGTATAAACTTCTGTGCTCTGCTACAAGCAAGATGAGTTCTCTCGCCACCTTTATGCACGTTTGTTTGGGCTACAACCATAACAATGAAGCTCTGATTGGTCAGCCTGATTTTTAACACATTTTTGACGTAGAAAATCAAGCAGTCTCCGTTAAAAACTTACGCAGTGTTGCAGTCCGTCAGTTTCAGTTTTACTCTCCATAAAACTGGCTCCTTTACTCTTTCAGTTGATCACATTGTTTTGTTTCCCTCCTCTGTGGTTCGAAATCTGGGTGTCATCCTTGATTCTGCACTTCAATTTGACAATGTGGTTGTTAAAACCACATTCTTTCACCTGTGCAAAATTGCTGAAATCCAACCATCTCTTTCCTAGTCTGCAGCTGAAACTTTAAATCATGCTTTAATTTCTAGCTGCTTAGATTACTGCAGCTCTCTTCACGCAGGCATTAGCACAGGGATTACTTCATAAACTTCAGATGGTTCAGAATTCCTTACTCATACCCGGTCACATCACATTATACCAGTTCTCCTAAACATCTGTTGGCTTCCCATAAAATACTGCATTCAGTTTAAAATTTTTCTCCTCACATATAAAGCTCTCAGTAATCTTGCTCCTTCCTATCTGTCTGACCTTCTTCAACCTTACAAGCTTATCTTCTCTCTGATCTTCTACAGCTGGACTGCTTGATATTCCGTCTTTTAATCTCCATAGCTTTAGTGACCGAGCATTTTCCAGACTTGCTCCACGCCTCTGGAACTTTCTCACTTCTCAAATTTAACAGTCAAACTCTCTGTCTTTGTTTAAATCCAACCTTACACATCTATTTTCTTTTGCATACAACCTTCCTCTGTCTTGAATTTGTTATAACTCATCTCATTTCTTACTCTATGTTGTGATTTATGTATTTATGTTTTGTCAGCTTTATAGTTTATGTATATGTATTACGTTAGATGTTACATGTTCACTCTGATTGTAATCTGTAAGTGTCTTTGGGTTTTTGAAAAGCGCTATACATGTCATTTATTATCATTATCATTAATATTATTATTATTATTATTATTAGTAGTAGTAGTAGTAGTATTTTATATATTTTAAACAGATATACTTGTAATTAAGTCATATAACCCTTTAATACTAAACGCTTTAAACACACAGGCCGGTCGTGCGTTCTCTAAAGGAGACGGGTCGAGTGGAGCCAGAGTTGTTTGATGAAGTCACCATCTACTTCAGTGATATCGTGGGCTTCACCACAATCTGCCACCACAGCACACCAATGGAAGTGGTGGACATGTTGAATGACATGTACAAAAACTTTGACAGCATTCTTGACAATCATGATGTCTATAAGGTAAACACACACATCTCTAGCCTCAAAGGTAACCTGATGAAAACAAGCCTTTTTCCATGTTTAATGAGGTAATGATAAATGGAGTAGAATCTTTATAAAGTGCCAGTTTAAATAAAACCAGCTCAAAGTAGAAGTTTGGGACTGAATTAAAAAGGCATGGCCTGTTGGAAATTGTTCTGATCTTTTTCCTCATGTCGTCTTTCTCACTTGAGGTGGAGACGATAGGTGATGCATATATGGTTGCGTCCGGTTTGCCCAGGCGGAATGGGAACAGGCATGCGGTAGATATTTCTCTCATGGCTTTGGATATTCTGGAGTTTATGGGAACCTTTCAGCTCCGACACCTTCCAGGAATACCGCTCTGGATTCGCATCGGAGTCCACTCAGGTACTCTAACACTCTCGCACACGTGCACTAAAGGAATAGTTTGGATGACATTTACATAATGTTTCACTATATCCCTCATTCATTCCCACAAGCACGGGGATCTTTATCCATCATTTTCATATTAGAGTGATAAATGCTTCTACAGATTGTTTGTTGAATTTATGGCGCTTCCCATTCTCGCACTGCACCACTCTAATTTACAAACAGAGTCACTCAGTCAACTGACACAAGTAGCAAACATGTAGAAATTACATACAAGGATAGACCTGTATAATATCTATAGAGAGAGGGAATTTGTGATTTAAATGCATTGCAGGTAATTTATTTAGTTTTCAAAGACATATAAGCAGTGCAGGTAATGCATTTTTAAGTCAGTAACTGTAATGTGATTACAAGAATTAAAACTGTAATGTGTGTTACTTTGTGCCACATTACCCACAACACTGCTTCTGTAACAGTTAGGCATGTTGTTTCATGCATTACTTAGATAATAGGATGGACTGTAGTTTGGATTATGATACAATAGTCTTTGAGCCAGTAACAATATTAAAATGTGTTTGTAGGTCCCTGTGCTGCAGGTGTTGTGGGGAATAAGATGCCGCGGTACTGCCTGTTTGGAGACACTGTCAACACTGCTTCAAGAATGGAGTCAACGGGACTGCGTAAGACACACACACACAAAAAGGTTTAGAGAAACTTTACTGAACATTAAACGTGTTTTCTATTCACCCGCTAAATATTATCTTCATTTAACACATTGACTGAAACAGCTACAGGAACAGCACACTATTTGAAAACCAGCAAAACAGAATGTAACACTTATTTCACTCAGTTTCTTCTCATCATTTGCTTATTCTCTTCACGCAGCTCTGAGAATCCATGTGAGCCAGTCCACCATTAGCATCCTACAGAGAACAGACTGCCAGTTTGAATTTGAGAGCAGAGGAGAGACCTACCTGAAGGTAAAAATTAGAAATTACAAATTGAAAATCAGCAGTGTCAGACATTTTGTAGTAGGAAAGTAATTTCCTGTCCCAGTCCCTGATTTCCCTTGTTCATGTTTTCATTTGCTCTAGTTTGCCAGATGTTTGGATCAGTGAGCAATTGTGTAAAACTGTTGTATAAGTATGTTAAGAAGTACTATAATAGTAATTAAACTGTAAATTATTAAACTGTTCATATTTAAAATTCAAATTTTTATAGTGATGCATCAATTGTATTATTTTCAAATTGAGTATGAGTTTGAGTGTATGTTTTTTAGTACTCGTGATACATTAGTTACCTTGGATTATGTAGAGCTGCAGTGGAGAAGAGTGAATTTTGTTCCACATCATTTAATCGCTTCTGTACAGCTGAAAGTAACGTTTCATAGTTTTGATCCTCATCTGTCTTTTTTAACAGTCTCCATACACAGGGAATCACGTCCCAGTGCTAATGCATTCGAGGAGCTCAGTTGTCGAGTTTTAAGTCTTGTGGGAGTGTTTGGCTGGTGAAGCTGTAGATGAATTGTCCAGGCATACTGTGTGATTTTAGAAATCGTGTTCTTTGTTGACTCACATTGTACGTTTGAATTGCCCATTGGGTGCAGAAAGCCTACGATTTATATGTTCACACTGTATGAAAACGCTTGATCTGACTGACATGCTGCATGAAACTACAGACAGCACTGACTATGATCAATTATCACTAAAGCTGTTGCTTTCAAAGTAACATGCTGCACACCTGAGTACTGACCAAAGATGCCAAGAAACTGAGCAGCTTTGATAACTTGTGCCAAACTGTGAACTGAAACTAAAAGTAGGCAGTGTTGTAAACGAGTAGGACAATACAATCTCCAAACAGTTAGTACAAAGACAGTATTTTACAAAGACAATTAAAAAAAAAACACTATAACAACATTTATACCTCTATACAATTCTATTCAGTCAAACACAGTAAAGTCGGCATAAACAGACTTTAGTTCTGCAAATGTTGGCTTTTTGCCTCCATTTTGCTAGCCTATGCATCTCCACTTGTACTGCGGAAGTGGTTGTGATTGTGTTTGTGTGTGTTTAAAAACAGGCTAAAATTGAATAATGTATGCCTGGAAGGAATCTGCTGAGGCAGAATGTTTAAAGTGAGCAGCGACTTTGTGTTCGACCTCCATGGCATCATGCAACACATCACTGTGTGAGCAGACCCTCATTCACTGCCAGCAGTTGTGTGTCAACTGTCACATGGTGTCAGGTGATATGGGATATTGGTATCGGTGCTTTATTACAAGAACAAGTATGAGTAAATGAGCGCGGTGTTGGGTCGATACCAGTGTCAGTATCAACGCATCCCTGATAAATTATAATGGTGTCTGTGATTTTTAAGGGTAAAGGAAAGGAGATGACTTACTGGCTAAAAGGTGTAACAGGAAGGAAGTACAACTTGCCAACCCCACCAACAGCGTAAGAAAACCATTTCTTCTTGACTTATTCACTTACTCTGTATAATAAATTAATTAATTAATTATTATCCTGTATTTTTGATTTTTTTGTCAAGTTACCTCTCTCACTATTTGATATCCACTTTTGAAATCCAAGGCATTTGGGATATTAATTTAATTACTTACCTAATTGTTAATGTTATATAGCTTTCTCAGTCATTTTAGAATCATCTATAGCTCTGTTTACTTCTAGACATCATTCTACACACATGCATTTTTTAAAGCTTCCTGCTATTTATTTAAAACCAGTGACGTTGCACAGTATATTAGAATAATTTATCAGCTACTATATTGGTTTCATACACAATGAGTTGTATGAGTTGTATTTAATTGAATCAAATGTGCATAATTTCCAATGGAAAAAATACATCAACACAACCTTGTCCTTCAGTTTACTTACTTTGGCAGTAATTCTGTTAATGTAATATTTTATTCATGTGTAAATGATGTGCACATTAGACTAAATAAATTAAATGCACCACTTTTTTCATTGTATTATTAAAACCATTCTAATCTTTTGTACACTGTTGTCCTGTTCCTCAGGGAGAATTTCCAGCGGCTGCAACAGGATCTGGCTGAGATGGTAGCGTCCACTTTGGCTGAAAGAGGAAATGAGAAGAGAAAGACACTCTCCACACGCATCCGTCGGAGCCAAAGACACGGTAGCGATGGTCTTCCAGAGTACCTACACCTGGCTGACCCCAGCACTTACCTTTAGCTCACACCCAAATTCACACAGATACAAAACCTGACCTACTGCTGCAGGAGTAGGAGACTATATACATCCACAACCCAGCACAGTGCAGAAGGGTTTGCCTACTCTAACTCATGATTCAGCTTAAGAAAGGCTTCATAAATGGTTAAATTAACATAAAATTTGTATAGTTTTGAAATACTAGAATGAGGTGTTACACCAGGGAAAGTGGCAAAATGTACAGTGTGTTGGCCCACTGTAGCTGCAATTCCACATGCTTTTGCTGGTAAGATTCACACTTGCATTCTACAAGTATGATATTGGCAGCTGAAATTTGATGATTTGTTACCAGATTAGAGAGTCAAAAGTGATAGACTAAGAGTGGATTTGGGTTGTGGCAGAACATCAGCTCTGCTTTCAGTTCATATTTCCTGCATAAATTTTATGTTTTATCTGAGCTACTTTAGACAGTAGAATTGTATAAATTACATTGAATCTGAATATGTGTAATTCTGTTGTGTGACAAAGATGAAAGTGGAGCACTTGAAATTGCTTGTCTTTGTTACGGTGTTTTATGTATTTTATAGAAATTCTTAAGTGGTGGAGCTCAATTGTTGCTCAAATCGTTGTTATTTATTTTTTTATGGGCTTGAAGGAGCCTAAGCACAGCTTTTTTGGAATTTGAGCAATTCAAACACAGGCAACACTATCCTATACAAAAATAACTTCTGACACGTACACAGCATTGATTTAAGTCATTCCCATTACTTAGAAAAAGGAACGCAGTTTAGACAGTCTGAAACAGATTCCCAACCCTGGACCTGGTAACTCCACACAAAATTGGCGTCCCAGGACTGGGATTGGTAACCCCTGGTCTACAGCATTGTCTGTGTGTGGGCTTTTTCAGAGTGAATGGAAGCTGATTTTTTAAAATAAAGCTCCCAGTTTGCATCTGTTTTTTGTCTCAGATACCAGCTTCATTTCTGTTGATTGCTGTCATAACAAATGCCATCACAAAATGTTGCCTAATGGATTGAGATAATAAACATTTGGATTCAATATGCTGGATTAATGTTAGATCACTGTGGTTAAAGTAATGACAAACTGTGATTTCTGAAGCTAATGTTTAACATATTTTTACATCATATATAAATGAACTGAAACTGATCATTGAGTCCCTTACTCCTGTACATACTAATAATAAGAGGCCTTGTATAATAAAGATATTTGTTTATTGTAAACATTAATGTATGTGCATAATCTTGTCACATCCATAGCCCTCTCTTGAGCCCTCTCTTTGAATTCTTGTTATTGTTTTCTGACCATTTTAAAATGTATGGTGTCGAAGAAATTTCTGAATAAAACAGAAAACAGTAAAATCTCAGAGTCACATTAATGCTCCAAAGTAATATATTTATTGAAAACTATCGCCCGAGGAGAAGCTCCTGGCAAATACCCAGAGATCTCCAAAAGTCAGACCAACGTTACAAAGGTTGTATATACCCGAAGTGGGGTTTATTACATTTCATTGGTTAACAGAGAACAAAGAAGTTACAATTCATTGGTTACATGTAATTGTGATATAAATAAACAAGAGAGTGTTAACATATATGTTAACATATAGTTAAGGAAAAGGAAGGAAGCTCATATGTGGTCAGCAAGCCTTCTCACACCTGGTCTCTTCGAGAAAAAGTAGCCTGCAACCTCAAGGCCACTGAACAATGATTTACTGGAGCTCCTGTCAGCTAGCTAGGCCTTAGTAGAAGAAAACAAGAGATAAGACCTAAAATTGTGAGGAGTAGGTGATTTGTTACATTCCTTGCACCCAGATAGTCCACCCTAAATATACAAGTAACATATATAGCACAAAAAACATACAAGTATCATGAAGATACAAGTAGTGTTGCTGGCTATATTAATTTCATATATCATAAATGAAATTTCTGAATACAGGTGAAATAATTGGTTACAAACCACAATTGTGAATTTAAATGTAGTCTTTTTGTTACCTCAGACTCTTGTTTATCCTGGTTACCCAATACGATTTTGAATTTTTCCCTTTTGTTAACAAAGTATAGTTCACACTTGGATTCTACTCAAAGTCTCTCCATCATTGTTACAAAAGACTTTGCTCTCATATGGGTCCAGCAGGTTTTCACAAAAGGTTGGCACATCAGCTTCGCCGCCACACTGCTTTGGAGTTTCACCCGTAAGCTACTGGCAGTGAATGGAGTGACCCAGCTCTTCTTACAACCTACTGCAAGGGGATTTCCCAGGTAGCAAGAGGATAGTGTGCCACTACCACTGTTGGCCCTCTCATGGCAAAGTTGGTGGCCCACTGGCTTTTTGCACAACGTTTTCTGGGCGGCCCACTGCTGGTTAAGCAGTTTTAGACAAAATGCTACTTTTCAAATTTTGTGGAGTACAAAATTTGAATAAAATAGGTAGGCCAACTTCATCATCGTCATCATCATTAACCGTCCAGATAGGGTCCAGATAGGGTCGTGGTTTAGGCCAACTTGCTAGATACAATTTCTAAACACTCTCATTTCCCACAATGTCATAACATCAGGCTACAGCCTGTTCCAGACATACACAATATATGATACAAAAAACATTAATAGACCCTTTTCACACTCTGATGCCGTGAAGAGGAAATAGCGTCAAAGCAGGTAGAAACACCTCTGGTTAGCCTGGCACTCGTTTCAAAACATGGAAATGAGGTGTTTCACAATTTGGCTTAAGGACCTCCCACATATCTCAGGCAGTGATGCAGAGCGATTTACACAAGAATATACACACAACACACACCAGGAAGAATAAAGGCTATAGGCTGTTCTTTGAAAATGACATTTTTGACTTTCAAGTGTGTGTTTGGCTGGAAATTTATGAAATCCCAAGTATGGCTGTTTTTTCTTTGGAGTTGCGGCTCTGAGGAGCACAGCAAAATGCTTAAAAGCTGGACTGCGCCATTTATTTTGGTTTGACCGGAAACACAATTACCTGCTAACAAAAAACGATGGAAATAAGAACCTGGAAATGTGAAAAGGGCCTATTCTCGTTTTAACATTAGGGTTAATCAAATCTGCTGTAGTGCTAAAACCAGGCCACCTTGATTCATGCTTTCATTGTACACAGAGTTCTCCCCAAATGCTACAAGTTTGTTTTTTTGAAATATGGAATGTTAGTATATAAATACATATGTATTGTATTATGTACTGTAAACAGAGGTGGCTATCTGTGCAGGGTTGTGTTACAGGACTCCAAAGTGCTCTAATCTCTCGCTGCTGTGCAGAAGGAACAGATCCATGGATCCCTGCCCACAGAAAACACATAAGGATGAATAAAAACACAGGCTGCACTGACAGGGTTGCCAACTTTGTGAGGTAACTGTGATTGGAGTGAGACTGGAGTCAGATTTTTAGTTTTGCATGCACATGTGTGCATCCACTGTTACCCTACTTAAAACAGTCATTTGAATCACAGTTCATCATTAACATGTAGACCAGTGGTTCTCAAACCAGTCGACAGAGACCCCCAGCTGGTCCACATTTGTTGTTCTAACCCAGCTTCAAACACTTCTGAACCAAAACATTAAACAACTGAATGCCTAGTACAAGTTAGAGCAAAAATGGGTATTGAAACAGCTGTTTTTATAACTTCTTTTACCAACTAGTTTCTAGGTTTTTAAATGCCTTATAAATGACATTTACCCTGACTGACTACTTACTTCTAAATGAATAACAAATTTTACCTTGTACTTTCCAATTGGAGCTTAAAAGCAGCTTAAAAGTAATGAGTACTGAAATGACACTTTCCAAGGAACTAATAGGTAATAAAAAAAAACATTACATTTTGAGATAAGTAATTAGTAGTAAGGTTTGTTCTGAGTGAATCGGTCATTTGGCTTGAGAATTCTTTGCACGGCATGAGAGCTTGAGACAATATCCAAAACCGTGAGAGTTGGCAACCCTGTACTAATGTCGTTTAGATTCTTTCTCTCTCTCACCCCAGTGTGTCATCCTGTGCAGGCAGGCTGTGGCAGTCATGATGGAAAGCTCGTGGACATTCATCACAACACACCAGGTCACCACCAGAGTTACAGAAGAAACACTCGTCATCATTGTCCTGGTCCTGCTGAGGTTAAGAATGCACACATATACATGAACAAAAACTCATAGAAATATTTGCATTAAATGTGAAAAAACCTTAAAGTAAGTCTTGATCTGTTGGGTGGTAAACAAAATAAAAAAGTAAACATATCAATAAATATGGATATGAAATATCAATAATTATGTTCTAAGCTGGAGAATTTAAGAGAGGATCCAAACCTAAGATTAAAAAATCCAACTCTGGGCATTTATAGCCTAGATTTTTTTACCATTATTGAATGAAAGCTTTGAACACTTCCATATTCAATGCAGCAAAAGTCGTCATAGTAGGGAAAACATACAGCAGTGGCACCGTTTACAAATGAGAATGTAGAGGACTCTGTTTAGAAATCCTCATTTAGGTATTTACTTAGGTTTTTTCCACGACAGACATTCATTTGGTGCAGCAGTTACATTTTCAGAGAGCAGCAACTTTTGACAAGGGCTACATTGAATGTAAACTACTGAGGCCTGTGGCTTCAGCCCTGGATGAGTGAGCAGTATGAATTTAAAGAAGTTAAAAGCTTTCTGTGAACAGGAGAGACAACACCTAAGATGCTACCTATAAATGAAATAAAACTGGTGATGCCATCTTAATTAGCTATCAATAGGTGGAAGAGCCAGTCAACTGCGTGGACTTGCTGCAGAGTTTAATGTAGTTCAAAAAGTGTACAGACATTGTCATGTCGGTTAGCCTTCATAGGTACACTGACTATAAAGTTAAATTGCGTAATACAACCAAAAGACAGTGAGGTATAACTGACCATGCTAGGGCGAATATTGGCACCATTGTGTGTACCTTGATTAAAGACGATGGTTTTGAATTTTTGGACACTACGCAAAGCAACATGCTGCATCCAGTGACCTTGAGGGTGTCACTCTGATGAGCGGACGGTGCTAAAGTGATGTGAGATTTCTCTCTGGTAAGAGGCCTGTGTGCTGTGTGGGTTGGACATACCAGGTTTTCTTTACTGCAGGTGGAACATGCACAGGTGACTCCATGAAATTCTAACACCTTGCTCTAAAAAGAAGGAAACAACAATCAGTTCTGCTTTATCACCATTTGTATGGCAAATAACGGTTAACTGCAGCCTGAGTGTGTAGAATATTGCAACTGCTCTTTACCATTATCAGAGTTCGCAGGCTTTTTCCATGGCTGGTGATATCTCGTCTCCAGTTTCCGTTGTTCATGTTCAGATTGACAAACTCCTCAGGGCTCAGCCAGGAATACTCTGTTCTGATGCATTTATCACATTTCCCTGGAAAAAACATGCAATAATTACACCAAATCCACATGACCACAGCACTACACAGTGCTTTATTTTCAGTAATAAAAGGACCAGGGGCTGGATTCACAAAAGCTTTCTTAAAAAAAAACTTGCGAAGGTTCTTGGAACAAACACTAAGAACTTCATAAGAGTGTTCTTAAATGCAGTTCTTGAAAAAAACGTAAGAATTCAAGAGACATTTTGAATTTGTATTAACGGTTATTTTAGTTATTTAGTTTAATCTGCTCAGAAGAGCAAAACATCAAACCAAGCATTTAAAAGAACTAGAGATAATCGTGGAAGAAACAGTCAACAGGAAAAAAATTCTCACTGGAAAATATGATATTTGTGGGGTGATGGTGGAAAGCAAGATATGAGGATGGACAGGAGTAGAGGCAGTGTACATGTACTTTAGATTTGCTTACCTTGTCAACTCTAAGACAATTGTGAGGCTATCGTAAGATTAGGAAAACATTTAAGAACATAACATTTTCAAGAATACTGCTTGTTCTAAGAATTGTTCTAAGAATAAAATATAAGATAATTCTTAAGAAGTTATTTGAAGAATAAAAATTTCTCATAACATTTTTCTTAAGAATGAAGTTAAGAAAAAACACACTTGAGAATATTTTCTTAAGACACTTATGTGAACCCGGCCCCCAGACTGAACTCTAATTAAAGGGCCCATATAATGTAAAACTGAGTTTTCCTCACTAGAGGCTGAAGTAGTATGCAAGGCCAAACAATTAATATCAAATAGCAATTTTTCTGACCAATATTGCGGTTACAGTCAATGGAAGACCGCGAGGAGACGGGGTGGTGGTAGGATGGGAAGTTTTTTGTCACAAGAAAGCTGAAGGGAGAAGGGAGAATATGTAGGGCGTAGAATGTAAGAGGAGGAGGAGTTTCGGGTGTGGGCCTTCTCCCAAGCTTAAGTTATTTCATTACTCCGTTTATTTTAGAAATTAAGCTCCAGACCTTTTTTTGGCCAAGAAGACTAGCACATTTGGCCTACAGTAGTTTAGCCCTCTTTTTGAAGAAAAAACACAATACAGGACAGCCAGTCAGAACAGAGATCATCTGCATAAATAGTAGAAAGCCACAAAAACAAAAACAGCCTGTTTGTGAAAAAAACTAAACCTCTTCTACAAGATATAAGCTCTTTAATAAGCCACAGGAATAATGATGTGTGTGGCAGAAGGAAAAGCCTTTCAGCATTATGCAGTGTTTGAGATATGCACAATAAGCACATTAAGCACATTAACCTGAAAAAGACTAGCACACCTGCTTTACTGAAACCAAGGGTTTAGCATTAGACATAAACATGTACCTGTAGCAAAGCGACTTTTATATAGAACCCCTCTCCCTGTAGAACATGTGACTGGAAAAGATTTGCCTTGGAACTGTGTCACATGAGCAGGGTCTTCTTCATAACTAATGCTGTCATCTGAGCTGGACTGGCTAATAATCTCAGTCGTATGGTCATCTGTAGGCAAAAGTGGAAGCCTGTGTGTAAAATTGTTTTCTCCCATGGTTCAAATACATGTAATTAAATTACAAACCCACATTTGTAAGGACAGTATGACATCTCATTACTCAAACACATCCACATCTCAGTGCTTTTAGATGAATCATAAGTAGGTAGGTATTCATGTATTTGTTAAACATATCTGTCACATAATTCTGACACAAATTCAGACTGACTAAAGTGACTAAAATGTCACAACAGCAAATGTCAATATTTAATACAATATCTCCTTCTTCTTCTTATTATTATTATTGATATTATTATGATTCAATCCAAATAATGGCCTTTTCCAGTCATAATAACATTATTAAATATCACAAAAATGCATCAGATATGAACTGTATACAAGGTTGTACTTGAGTTAGTGACTTTCAAAGTAAATGATAAAGACACTAACTTGTAACATGTCTGGTACTTCCACTGGATGTAAACAGCGCTCTCCTGCACCGTGGCTAAAACGACAAACAGATGTTAATATGTTGTTTCAAACATAAAGACACAGAATAGTGTCGCGACCAAGATCTGTCTCTTCTGCCCAGGGTCTAGACATATACAAGTATCTCTAATATGTTCTACGCTATTGCCCTAATAACTATCTGTAGTCTAACATCTTTAAAAAGAATTAAAAGAACAAAAAGAATATCAACAAAAAAAAAAGGATAAAGCGGAATAAAAAAGGAATAAAAAAACTTCAGCCGCTGAGTTCTTGTGGAAGGAAGGAAAAGGCCTTCTCTTTATTGAGCTTTAAGTGGCAAGATGGTTCCCGGACAACCACAATGCAAAGATCATCACGAAGCATCCCTTTTTTATATCCTTTTTGGGCTGGTGAAGTAATCACCCTACCCCTTTTTACACAATTCCATATCATCTTAGTCCCCATTGTATTCAAACCCTGCACCCTTTTTGGCTCCCCTTAAAACCAAATGCACATGATGTCAAATTTTTAAAAACCATTCTGACCTAATCGTTTCATCCTCTCAAGGTCATCTTATACAGCTTCTTCACCCAAGTTCAGAAGTTTACTATAATTTATACTGTCATCTAACAATTCCCTTCCTTTCAGCCCTAATTAGTAGCTACACTTTGTACAGTTTCTTTTTTTTGTGAGTTCAAGAGTTCTTTGAGTTCATTGAGTTCATCCCCTTTAGAGGTGATATCCCAAATGCATGCAGTCTATAGCCTGTTTCCGAATGTTACCTTTTTTCAGGAGATTTCCAAATACTCAAGTTAGCTAATATTTAGTTTATTGATTATTAATCAGGAATGTTTCATTAAATATTTCTGTCAATAGTTCTAGACTACATAGGCCTTTGCAATCATTACAGTCATTACATAGCCTGCACAGATCTATGACTATAAAGATCATTAGTCACTGCAGTGCCCCTTTAGTCATTACAGTGATTTTTAAGTCTTTACAGTCATCACTATCTTTACAGTGATCTTTACAGTTATTACAGTAAAGTTATTACAGTACACGTAACAGTCTTTATAGTGACCTTCACAGTCTTCACAGAAACATTTACAGTATTTCTAGTCTTTATAGTCATTATAGTGACCTTTACAGTCACTACACATTGATCTTCATTATAGTCATAGTCATTAGTTACTTTTGCAGTCTTTACAGACTTTACAGTGACCTGTACAGTGGTTACACACATTATATTGACCTCACTGGTCTTACCTGTCCCAATGAGCCCCTGCCAACAGGTGAAGACTTTGGAAAACAGCAGTGTGTGCAAGAATTGAGACAAAAAACAGAGAACTGTGAGAAAAACATATTTCAAGCCCTAAAAAAATATTCAGTAAGAATTTGAGACATTAACAAGAATCTTTTAACACAAGAAGAGACTGTAGTACCTCTTTATCCTGTATCTTCTTTTGTTTAAATGATGGAGATGAAAGAAAGCCCCCCTACACAGTGGACATTAAAGAGAAGAAGAGTAAGAGGACTAGAATGAAGTCTCTACACTTGCATGTGTGCAAGAACAAATAATGTAGCTAAATCATATGTGGGTTGCCTCTAGTCAAATGCCATGTTAAGATGTTTTTCTAGGTGAAAGTAAGTACATATACGCTACAGAGAACATGCTTACTGTTTATTTGCTGAATTTAATATGTTAGGGAAAAAAATAAACATAAAATGTAGCCTGTGTAACAGTTATGGCACATTTTATACTTTGTTATTCCAGTATGTGAAGCTTGGCAAATAAATATGTTCATTAATTTTCAGAAAAATGTCATATTTAAGTGTGCTCTTTAAAGAGCATTTTCACTTAGAAAATCAACAAAACGTGTACGTTGACCAAGGGTGCTCAAACTTCTGCATGCAACTGTGTATTTATTTTTGCATATTTATTCATTCTGTTGTCAAACCTTCTTCATTGTGTGCTTATACTGACTGAATATGAACTATAGACTGCAGTGTGAGCTTTTACATGTTCTGCATATTTACCTCTATGAGTGTTTGTAAAGGAAACTGGCGATAAAGGATGCTAGTTCTCCACTTTCTGTTTTTCTCCTTTCCTCCATACTTCTCAAACTCTGAGGGTGTGAACCACTGTCCTTCAGAGAGGATGCATGGCTCACCTGCAGAGAAGGGGGGGTTGATATTGTGTGTATATGTGTGTGTGTGTGTGTGCGTGTGTGTGTGTGTGTGTGTGTGTGTGTGTGTGAGAGAGAGAGAGAGAGAGAGAGAGATATAAAGAGAGTAGAAATATATGTGTATATAAACATATATTTTTTATTTTTCCAGTTAAAATAAATAAACATACATGCACTATATATATATATATATATATATATATATATATATATATATATATATATATATATATATATATATATATATAGTGCATGTATGTTTATTTATTTATAGTGTGCTGTATTTAAAGGGACATGGTTAAAAAATAATTTTGTGTTCCCTTGCAAATGCAATGGATTTGTGAGGGAATGCAACATTTTTGCAAGGAAAAATATACGAAAATATTGCAAGGGAATGCAATGTCGTTGAAAATATTTTTTTCACAGTGCCACTAGGGGCTCAGTAATGTTCCAGTATGTGAAATTTACTTAATGTTTCTGTAGATTTGCAGGAAAAGCAGTTGGCTTGGAGTGTGACTTCACCCAAACTCTGATACAAATATACTGAAACATATTCAGACTCACTGTTGTTGAACTTTTCCTTATACAGTATGCCTCCTTTCTTTTCACAGCAGACTGAAAGAGCCTGTTTGTTCCTGATGTGTTCTTCCAGCCTCTTGTTCACTGAGGGCCCTGAAATGACTATACATTAGCAGAGCCAGGTTTATGTTAAACAATGTAGCAGTGGAAGTTTGGAAGGTGCTTTAAAGCCCTGAACAGGAACATGCACCATTTCATCCTAGCCATGGACTTCTGGGATTTGTTTTAAAGTTCCGCAATGCAGTACTGTGCAAAAGTCACGAGATCACATACACATTGTCTAAGCTGCTTATCCTTCTGGGTCATGTGGGGGGGGCAGTGCTGGAGTCCATCCCAGCTGTCATTAGGCGGAAAGCACGAAACACCCTGGACAGGTGGCCAGTCCATCACAGGGCAAACAGACAGACATATACAATCACACACACACATTCACACCTAGGGGCAATTTAGCATGTCCAATTTGCCTGACTTCATGCCTTTGGACTGTGTGAGGAAACCCACACAGACATGGGGAGAACATGCAAACTCCACACAGAAAGGACCCTGGTTGCCCATCTGGGGAATCAAACCCAGGCCCTTTCTGCTATGAAGGGACAGAGCTACCCTCTGTGCTATTAAATTTTCAGTAAAATATGTCTGAGGAGATCAGATATAAGATAATCCACTTTCACTAGTAAGGGGAAAGTCGAAGGAAGAACGGTGAAAAACAGGAAAAACAGTTTTTAAAAAACTGCTTCCAAGAATGGAATTAAAAATGTATTAAAACCTGCAGAGATAATAGGACTCCAAACAAGAGAGAGGAGAAAATCAAGTTTCACTCTTGCTTCAGATCTGAAATAATCCACAGTTGTTTCTGTCCATCCTTCCACTGTGAGAAGACAACTCAACACTATGAGTCTGAAAGGATGTGTATTACTGAGAAAATGAAATAGACAAAACAGAAGGACCTTTGCACTAGAACACAGAAACTCTACATCTGAAATGTGAAGTCAGATTTTATGGACTGATAAGTCTGAATTTGTGTTTGGGATTACTTGGATTGCAAGATGCAGAAAATGCAATCAACTTCTGAGACTGAACTTTAAAGATGTGTAAAAAGCATAACAGATTTTTTTTGAAAACTGAAAGCGAACCTCTTGAAAAGAATTAGGTGTAAATGCAATGTTTTCTGCTTTTTTCCAATTGCTGAAAAGAACACCTTTAATGCCGACTTGAAATTAAATGAATGAAAGGGTGTCCTCTGACTTTTGCACTGTACTGTATATAATAATTACTCAGACAAACAGTTCTGAATACATTTTTGTCATTTTGTTTTGTTATATTGCAGTTTGCACAATGTTTATTGGTGAGGTATAAGTAGTGTCTGTTAGCTACATTAGCCTCGTAGTTCCAGGGCAAAAGTAAAGAAGCAAATTTCAGACATCAAACATGATCTTAGCTGATCTGCTACGTTTGGTATAAACTTAAAAACTATGTAATTTCAATTCTTTCAACTGTTCATACCACTTTGCAATTTGCCCTGAATCCGTGATGAATGCTGACTTACTGCTTGCAGGGCTCTGGGTGGGCATCTCCTGATTAGAATTGTGGACAGGTGACAGTCTTAGCTGACCATTCTTCCTGCAGCTCCTGGTCATCATCCTTCTCTTCCTCCCTTGATTTCTCATATTCATGTGCTCCTCTTCACTCAGCCAGTCAGAATCTGTCTCAGTCTCTGTCATCATTTTCCTCTTCCTTCTTCTTTTTGTCTTCATTTTCTCCTCTTCACTCAACCAGTCAGAATCTGTCTCTGTCTCAGTCATCATCTTTCTCTTCCCCCTTTGTTTTCTTGTCTTCATTTGCTCCTCTTCACTCAGACAGTCAGAATCTGTCTCCGTCTCAGTCATCATCTCTGTTTCTGTCACTTCAGCCATCATTAGCACTTCCCTGAAAAGTAAAGATTACATCAGCAATATAGTAGTGTTGCATTTCAACCTGAATAATAATACATTTGCAGGTATTTGTTCTTACTCAATTGAAAAGTAGGAAAAGAAACAAAGACGTTGGCCAATTTTTTAATATCCCTATTTCCAAAAAAGTTTGGACGCTGTTCAAAATGTAAATAAAACAGAATGCAATGATGTGCAGATCATTTAAACCCTACAGTACAGATGGAAATAGCACAAAAACAACGTATCCAATTTTGAAACTGAGAAATTTTATTGTTTTTGAAAAATATATGCCCATTTTGAATTTGATGCCAGCAACGCGTTTCAAAAAAGTTCAAACGGGGCAACAAAAGACAAGACGGGCAAGGTAAAGATGTGTAATGTTAAAAAAAACCCTGGTGGTCCATTGGCAACAGGTCAGTAACATGATTGGGTATAGAAAGAACATCCTAGAGAGGCATAGTCTTTCAGAAGTAAAGATGGGGATCCAATCACCTAAAGCACACGTTAATGCAAGTTGTAAACAGGCCCTAAGTGAACTAGAAGAGCTTGATTCTACACAAGTAATGGAAGTTTGTACACTGCCAGCTGTTAATGAGCAAACTGCTGACACCAAATACGTAGGTGGAGGAGTTTTGTTCTGCTTTTCTTCCCTCCCTCTTCTCTCTCCTCCTACATTTCATTTCTCTCTACACTCCTCCATTCCTCTCACTCTCCTCCTCTTTTTGTTTTCCACTGACTCTGTATTTCTCCTCACCTGAACACACCCAGGTTCCTTTCAGTTTCGTTTCCTAGTAAAATACTTAGAACCTTGAACTGACTGCTTATCACAGTAGAGAGCAACACATTTTGTTTTTTGCTTTATAATGTTAAAGCTGATTCTTGACTACAAAGTAGAAGAGCAAATATCAGCATGATCAAATATCACATTTACATGACATCTATAGCATGTTTTTGCTTAATCTTCAAAAGAGCTATCTCTCACTGTGAGTTGCTTACAGACTTCAGAAGGATGTTGTATTACAGCCAGCAAGAAGTTACTCAACTAATACAGGTGCAAATGAACTGAAAAACCGTAGGATGAAAAAAGTTACTTGTATGGTACAGAAACAGTTTTCAGGGTGAATTTCAAGAAATATCTCTGATTGCTGTTACAATTCACAGATGAGGTTGCTCGACAACAGCACAGCATATCATTTCATATCAGAACAACCTGATATTCGCTACGAAGTGAGGATCACTAGGAAGCAAAATAGGTAATCTGCCAACACAGCTCTTTTTACAGCTGTATTTTGATTATTATTAAGAAGTGCTGTCAAGTTGGTTGTGACTTCTGGTAGTGACTATATGTAAAGTGTTTCTCAAGGATATCCTGTCTGTTTGGACTGGTTCGTTATTCCTCTTTGTGTTTTTACTTTTGTATTGTATCCAACCATTTGTTGCTGGTCATTCTCTTCCTCTTTTTCCTTCAACTGTTCCAAGTGTAATGGTCTTTTCCAACTAATTAGTTTTTCTCAGAATATGTGTAAAATAAACTTCAGTTTAGTTTTCTGGGCTTCAAGTGAAATGTGAGGCTTGATTTGTTTGAGTATCCATTTGTTTGTCTTCTTTGTCATCCAAGGTACTCTTAAAAGTCTCAGCTAACACCAAAGTTCAAAGGCATCAATATTTTTCCTATCTCGCTTCCATAAAGGACCTCAGGGAAGATCATAGCCTGGACAATTCCGATCTTTGTTTGCATTTTAAAGTCTATACTATGACAGTTGCTTTTCACACTGTTTTGTTCCACTATATCAAAGGAACTGTGGACTTTAAGCATCTGTGATCCATACAGACAGGTTTCTTTAAAAGCCTAATAACTCTCATACTGTGTTCCAATGTAAAAAGCACATGATCCACATGTTTAGAAGATCTGTGGTGTTAAGAGTTTAGCCTCAGCCCAGATTTAAATAAGATAATCAACAAAAATCTCTTTTACACAATTTCTGCTCTACTTTGGATGTACTTGATCCACCAAGACTTGTCTGGTGTCTGAAGTTTACTTCTTTATTATTTAACTGGAGCTACATTGCTAATGAAGTAATGGAAGTTTGTACACCTCCAGCTGTTAATGAGCAAACTGCTGACACCAAATACGTCCTGACTGATTAACCACATTTGGGCTAAGGGGAAAATAATCCAAATTAGAATTTTTTACCAGCTATCACTTGATAAAATGTACCAGTGAACATTAAAAAAGGATCACAATACATCCTGGGGTGTTTACATCTGGCTTTTTTGTGGTTAATCAAAACCCGAACCTGATCCGATCTCCATAAACATGTGACTGGAAGGTATAAGCAGTCCCTAAAAGTTACATCAAAGAATGTTATTATATGAAGTGGTTACAAATATGTTGTCTGATGACCACAACAATATTTTACACTAGTTTTGACATAAAGTTTTAGCCTAAAACATATTACACTATTTCACCATTATCAACGTTACATTTAAAAACAGAGACAAAGACACATATAGGTTCACTGGTTTGGATAGTAAATAAATGGCTATATTTGCATTGCAGACATTGTGACTCCTGGTTCCAATCACCACCACTGTAAAGATGTCAGAGTCATATAATTATGAATTATGCAGAAATTTTATAGAATAAGTAGAAGCCCTTTAAGCGTGCGCATGCATCAGACCAGATTCATGATATCAGAATTGAGTCTCTAAATTCCAGAAGTCACTTAAAATCCATTCAAAAAGACTCAAAAGACTGACGGTTTTAACAGTAAATGCAAGTTTGTGTTTAGAATCATTCAGATATGACACCCTGAAGCTGTCGCTGTTATTCCACTCTAACATCTTGTGTTCATCAGCGAAAATAAGGAAAATAACCACAAACACTGACAGCACAGAAAGAAAATACGGACCAGATACGTACAGAATGTGAAAGATTTACTCACCTTGTATGACACGATCTGGTATCTCTCCCTAAGTTACGCTCATGGACAGACACACACACACTTATCAGCTGAGAGGTGGAGGAGTTTTATTCTGCTTTTCTTCCCTCCCTCTTCTCTCTCCTCCTACATTTCATTTCTCTCTACACTCCTCCATTCCTCTCACTCTCCTCCTCTTTTTGTTTTTCACTGACTGCAAAAATAAGAACAAGACTCGACCTTTCTTCTCACCTGAACACACCCAGGTTCCTTTCAGTTTCATTTCATAGTAAAATTCTTAGAACCTCGAATTGACTGCTTATCACAGTAGAGAGCAACACATTTTGTTTTTTGCTTTATAATTTTAAAAGTATCTGAGCGAGATCATTTTCTATGCATTCAACGTATAAATGAGAACAAACTTTGTTTCCAACACATTCTTTTATTAGCAACTCCAGCGAAAGTGACAGAGTGCAAACATTACAACTTCATTGTGTCAGACGGAGGGGCCAGTTGTAACTTAAACTTAAAACACAATCAATTCAATAGAAATCTGTTTTTGTTGGAAGTAGTTAAAATTTCCCACCTAAATATATATTTATAATATATTCATCAAAATAAATATGATTAGTGAAATCAGACTGTGTCAAACAGTGTAAACTGATTCTTGACCACAAAGAAGAGGAGTAAATATCAGCATGATCAAATTTATATGTTTCATTTATATGACATCTATAGCATGTTGTTGCTTAATCTTCAAAAGGGCTATCTCACCCTGTGAGTTGCTTACAGACTTCAGAAGGATGTTGTATTACAGCCAGCAAGAAAGTGACTAAACTAATACAGGTGCAAATTATACACACGATTCAGTAACTGAAAAACCCTATGATGAAAAAAGTTACTTGTATGGTACAGAAACAGTTTTCAGGGTGAATTTCAAGAAATATCTTTGATTGCTGTCAATATTTAGACGAGGTTGCTATGAGAATACGAGAGCACAGCCAAAAGCACATTCACCTTGAACCTGTTTAACTGCATTGCTATAACTGCATTGCTTCTCCGCTATACATCTGTCTGTTTATAGAAAAAATATATATAATTTACAAAACATTTATTTACTCCTTTCTGATAACTTCAGTGTGAATGAATGCACTAAACTGCCTGCAGGCTGAATATCCATGTGTTGTCAATAATATAGAACCAATTGTCAAACAGCTGTTAATATTGCAGCGTTGACATAGAGTGAGACATAATTCCACCATGAGAAGTGCTCTTTATTAAACACCAGGGCAGAAAGACCAAATCACAGTAACAAGACAATAAACAACACAATAAACACATATTACATACCTTTAGCTGACGAACAACAACATAAACATCCTGCCATGGCCATCAGCAGGACCAAGCCTCACAACCTTCTAGAGCCCAGCATGTGTTAAATATATTTACTGTATCATAACTTACTCAAAATTCTTTAAATATGTGAATAAATCATCAGTTTATGTTTGGTGTCTTGTTTATGATGTTTTAATCCTTAAAATACCAGACTTATCACATTCTAACACAGGGCTTCCCAAAGTCTGGTCTGTGGATGTCGTGTGATTTGGCCTACCAGAAACCCTCACCACCTCACTTAAGAGAACATACTTATAATATTATATATATTTAAATATATTTATGTATATTTATATTTTCCTTTAGAATTGTGTAATGTGTAAAGGGTAATGTTATAAAATATAATTAATTAAAGGTCAATTTGGATCCAATCTACCTACTTATATTTGTTTGCTTTGGCCTTTGGCTCCCCAGGACAAAAAATTTGGGCACCCCTGGTCAAAGGCATAGTATGCACTGACAACTACATGAACTACGTGGCAAACCAACCAAATCATTCTCAGAGTAGTATGATACATTTTGGACCTACTGGTGGGTCAGCCATTTAAGGAGTCTACACTGTATTTGTTTTTTTTATTAAATGATAATTATTATTATTTTCCAAACTTTTGAATGCTAGTGTGAATGTGTCATGAAAATTCTGTTTTCTATGATGTTGGCCCTTTAAGACTCCTTTAGAACTCATGATGGTTGGTTTTCTAATAATGTTTTTTATGTTTATGTGCTTATATGTGCATTTGGCTCAAGATGATATTGGGAAAATACCAGCAAGGGGGCGTTAGACCAGTTTGCTATGAGCATTATGTCATATGTTTCATTATGTCCTATAAATAGTCGTAATATTCGTAATCAAACTCGAGACAAGACAGAACAGAGCTTGTATGGTATGAGCTTGTATTCTGTGTGAGTCAGAGTGAATGTAAAGGTAGAAGCATGTTAGAATATTAGGGTGGTGAGTCATAGGCGGCCTCTGTTTACTGCATGTTGTGAAGCTGTAACTGCTTCAAGTTCTGATGCACTGACTCTGTGTCACATCACACATTAAACACAAATACACCCCCACACTCAGACACTCTAATAATAACAGGTTCTACAAGGGTTCTTTGGAGCATTGCCATAGAAGAACTTTTCATTCCCTGAAGAACCTTGTTTGAAAGTGTGAATAACCTTGTAAAGGTTTAAAGAACCTTCATGTAATGTAAAGCTTGTATACCAGTTTAATTTTTTTTCTAGAACCTTTACACTGTGTGGAGGTATTTTAAATTTTAAAAAGCTTTTTCACACTCGCTCACCTCATCTACAAAAACTCGTTCTCTGATCCCCTTTAAAGGCCAGAGCCCACCAGCGGCCCAAAGTGTTACTTCACAACCAAACTCAAGAATAGCTCAGCCAGTTTGCACTGAGGTCCCTGTAGTTACTGAATAATAAGCCTTAGTATGTATTAAGACTGAGATTTTAAGGGGTTAAAAGAACCAAAGGTGGGTCCTCTATGGCATCACTGATAAAGATTTTTGGCTTTAAAACAGTGTATAAACAGTGTTTTCATTTTTTTCTTTTGCTGTTTTATGAAAACACTGTGTATATATAACAAAAAAATGCAGATGTTTCCCCAACAATTCCATTCTTAAAGTCTTCTGCACATTGCCTCTCTCTTCACATCAAACATCTCTTCTACACATCTCCTCTCTAACATCCTGCTACATTTTATCCACATTTTTTAATATTTAAACGACAAACAGTCACTCAGTAAAACTCTTCTTGCCTAAATCCAAACACTAAATAATATTTTAATATAAAAGCTTAAACCACAGCATCCTGTAGTGGACCCAAGCAAATATTGGTTAAACATTTTTTCACTTGTGCACGTGGCTCAAGTTGGGCTGGTTTTCAAATGAATGGTTTTTGTGTACACTGTAAAAACTAATTTAGGTCTTAAAAAAGTAAGTAACTTGGCCTCCTTCAAATTTTAATATTATTGCTGAATATTATTTTATATAATAAATTAACAGAATGTAACAGATGATGACTGTTCTGTTAACTGACTATTTGATGTTCAGTGAAATTGAAATGTTAAAATACCCAGTTTATTTACTTTTATAAGTTAAAAGAATTATTATATTTACAGAAATTTTAAGATTGCTCGCCTTTTCTTCCTTGCACTCTCATCTCTCTCTCTCTCTCTCTCTCTCTCTCTCTCTCTCTCTCTCTCGAGGAATAAGTAAAAGTGCCTCTGTGTAATGTTATAAGGCTCAGGGCTGGTTATAAAACATTCAGGCCTCCAGCCTTGGAAGCCCAGAACAGGCGACACCCCGCTATTTCCTCTCTCTTAGATAAGCGGCAGCTCCGAAATATGTAATTGAAATACACAGACTATATATATAATACTATATGCTATAGCTAACAAACGTCTGCCCACTATGTTCATTCAGTGGCCATCTTTGCAACGCCACCAGACAGTTATTTCGAGCCATACAGCACCAGACTGTCTTTGAATGGGGAGAGACAAAAATACTCTAAACTGAAGGTCAAATTACCATTAAAGTTCAAATTATTGGTAAAGTCCGACAAAAACTTTGTAAATAGTTCGTAGCGTTTGGCTCAATAACACACAAAAACACTGTTGATTTTTCAGGTTGTTGACACTTCTCCGCTTGCGGCATAACCAGCGAGCTGATTGGCTCTTTTTCTTGAAGGACGGGTCTTTCTCACAAACAGAAACCATGTTTAACATTATGAGCTTTCCCATTCATATTTCAACCAGTGACCAGTCTCCTCCTTTATAACATCTCTGCTATATTCGGCATGTAACAGAGGCATAAAAATCAAGCTGACCAATCAGAGCTCTGTTGTCATGGTTGCAGCCCAAATAAATTTGCATCAGGATGGCAACAGTTGCTGCTAGTTGGGCGATGTTTGGTGTGCCTGGGACACGCAGCTCTCCCCCCTACAGATGCAACAGACTTACAGCATGTAGTTAAACAATAAGTATCTGTCAGCAGTTGAAGACATTTTAACCCCCTTTGATAAAAGCAGGTATACTTTTTAAGGAAGTGAGAGGCTGTGTGAAGAAAAGCAAAAGTAATTCCACTTTCCCATTTTTTACCCTTCTTAAAGAGGTTTAATTTTCTATTCCAGGTCACTGTGACAACTGAATAGAGACCAATCCTTCTTTCCCAGAATGCTGAAATGGAAATGCAACATCTTTCACTTTCACCCAAACAAAAGTGAAAGTAAGAGGGAGTAACTTTGTTTCCTTGGCTGCTCTGCTGGCATATGCCAAGTCATCCCACATAAAGTAATCTGACAGAAAAGATCAATGGCCAAATAGATATTAAAAGCTTTCTTTCTCTTTTCTTTCTTGACAGCACTATTAAATCTAGTCAGCATGTTGCCACATACAGTACAAAACCCAGAAACCAGTCTTCAATTATTTAATTTCAAGTCAATTTCAGTCATTATGTACATGTAATTCATTTTTCAGGAGATGTTTTTGAGGAGATTAGATATTCCATTTGCATAAAGAAATGCCTCCTCAAATGACCACTCTTGTTGGTGTTCTCAGAACAACAGAGTGACCACCCCAGAGTCCAGACCTCAACATTACTGAATGTGTTTGGGATTACTTTTAAGCAGATTAATCAAGCAGAAAATGCACCCAACGTCTTAGCCTGAACTTTGGAGATGTGCAAAAATAGCCCTGCAGATTTGTTTGAAAAACTGAAAGCAAGTCTCCTGAAAGTCTTCTGAGGTCTCCAGAAAAGAAGCTGTGATAAAGGCAAAGGGTGACCGCATTAATAAATATATGTTTTCTGATTCTTTTTGATTCTTTTCTTGACGCTGAAATTGAATAACTTATATTTGAAGGCCTGGGTAGAAGTTAAATGAATGAAGGTGCTCCCTGAGTTTTTCACAGCACTGTTTACTATTCAGGTTTCTCTTTCACACTCTTACATAAATATACACACCTTCACCTGATGCAAATATGTACATGTATAATCCAGGTTAGAGTACCAAGTCTGAGTGAAGCAGGAGTTTACATCCTTTACCTCACCCTGGCATTATTATAGAGGATTATACTCCCTGCTACAATATTATTTTGGCCTTTTATGTCTGGAGTCACTTGCCAGATTGATTAAAAAAAATTCAAACTACTCACCAAAAAAAATATATATTTTCACATTTTTATTGAATATTTATTAGGAATTCTGTGTAATAAATGAATAACATACAGTAAGTATTTACTGACATTCATCCAACTTGAGAGTTTATTTCAGCTGAAAATTGTCCTACTAATTGTTTAAAACCTGTAAAGTTGCACAGGACTGTTATACTAGAGTCATTTTATACATTTATCTAAAGCAAGATCAGTTTTATATGAGTGAAAATGGTGATTTCAAATGTTTAAAGGCTAGTGTATCTGTGAGATAACTGAAAAGGAAATTTAAAGTCAAAAGGCAATTAAAAAAAAAACTCGAACATGACAGTTGATGCATATTGTTCAAATAAACCTCGTTTCTTAACATATGAGGAAACCAACCAGGCCTGGTCCCAAACACCAGGTGGGAAATTTGGGTTACAATGTATCCACATTCGACAAAATAAAAAAAAAAATTAATAGTAATAAAAAAGCTAAGGTGATATGCGTGAACAAATGGTACAGTAAGTCTGTCTAACTGAGCCACACATTCAGGAGAGAATCAACAGGAGAGCCACGTTTACAACAAATCACCAGTGAATTTTAATACAACAATCACCAAAGGTTTCCCCTTTTAAGAAATCTGCTAATTAACCTTCGCACAACATGCGTTGTACAAAACTGTCCATCCATTCAACCTAAAAAAATTACTTAACAGGGTAATAAGCAAATTAAGTAGTTTCATTCAACCTAAATAAATAATTTGAATGAACAAACAGTTGCTTATTATTGCTTATACAGGAAGTAATTTTTTAGGTTGATTTCAGGTTGTTCAGGCATTAAACCTTCCTATGTTAATCAGTATAGCCTTATATATGAAGTTTAGTTTCACTTTCACTGCTTCTGCCACCTGCCTCTGTAGAAGCATGTATTTAAAAAGTAGTGGTTTTAGTGAGGCTTGATGATTGATTAGTGAGGCACTGACCCCTGATAAAAGCCCATCAGCCATTTCAGTATCAAACTGCTTTACAAAAAGCTAATCAAATTAAAGTGTTTGCAAAATTATTATTCATCATAGTTGGTTAATACTAATGAAGGTTCCTGATTGAGGAGAGATGCTACTGGATGTTAAAGATGCTTTTGAACTCCCTCTCAAACACCTCACTCAGCCTGGATCCCAACTTGTCAAACTTGTTGCCCTATAGACAAAGAAAAATAATATAAAAACTTTTTTTAATGACTGAAAGCAATAATTAACAATAATATATGGGCATCCCTGGCCAAACTGCAGGTTTTATTGATGTTCAAAGGGAAAAGAAGTTAACACAATCTCTGCAGCAAACTATTTTAAAAAATAACATTTGTCGCAAATGTTATTGAACACATTTTTTATTGAGTAACGTAAAAATAGAAAAAAAAGGATCTAAAAATGAAGCTAATTTATGCCTACAAAGCTATAAAAAGATATCATTGTGCATTCCAGTTTGCAATTTCCACTGTCCAAAATGTCTTTAAAAAATGCCAGTAAAGGGGAGCCTATGAAAGTTAAGGCAAGATCTGGAAGACAGAAAATCTCAGAACTGCTTGTACGCTGGCCAGAAATGCAAAGAAAAACCCTCATATGACAGCAAAGGACCTGCAAGAAAGTTGACAGAAGTGGTTGTGCACTGTTCTATTATGAAGCATTGTTGGCAAAAACATGGTCCACATGGAAGAATCATTAGAAGGAAATATTACAGAAGGGAACCTCTACTGCTGCATTCCCTTCACTGACTGTAGCTTCTTGCATCAGATTTAAGAGCTACCTACTCTTTCTAGGTATCAGCACTGGCTTTTGTTTCTGGCAGTGTCTTAGCTCAAGGGCAGTTTGGACTCTAACCTATTTTAATGGACTACAAAGCATGTTTGTAAGTTGCTGTAGATAAGGGAGTCTAAATGCTGTAAATGGAGATGTAAGATCTTTGAATGGCTTTTTGCATAACTTGAACATCGTTGGAAATCTGTAAGTGTTCTGCAGAGAAGAGTGGGTGAGAATTCCTAAAACAGCAATAGAAAGATTCCAAGCTTTATTTTGTTGGTTTATTTCACATGTGTATCAAATATAAAGTAAATGTACAAACAACATTTGCTGAAAATGCTATTTTAAAAACATAATTTGGCCAGGGGTACCCAAACTTTTACAAAAAAAAAATTTTTATCTCACCTTATTAAACATGTGGCAGTTGTGAAAGATGAGCCGGACGTCAGACACAAACTGGCCCAGTTTTCTATACTTTCTGTTCTGCAGCTTTGTCTTCACTCTGTCCAGCCACATGGGGTCAGCAATCACTCTGCTGTAGCCTGAGATCTGTACAAGAGCAGCAAGGAGAGTCGACATGAGACCAAGAAACACAACTTTCACTCCTTGAGTGAAAATGAATTCTCACTTAAGTACAGTAATCTTTCATCAAAATTTTATTAAATATGCGGCTTACTTTGTTTAATTGTGTTACATGGTTAGTTGAATAATTCATTACATTTACATTCAGTGTGCATGCTACAGTCAAATACAACACTTTGAACAGCCCTGGACAAATGACAGGCTCTGCTGATTTTCTGAGAGAAAATAAGTTAAAACATCCTATACAGAGAACACACTAAAATATATGAAACATTTTCTGCTAATTTTAATATATCGGGGCATGTTTTATTTATTTCCCTGACATATTAAATTCAGCAAATAAACAGTAATTGTGCATTATAATGTGCAGACGTGTGAGGATGTAGAGGATGTGTTAACTTTTCACTTCAACATCAACAAAATATGGCATTTGACTGGGGTGTCCAAACTTTTGCATACAACTGTATATCAACAGATTTGAGTCTGCCTTTTATTCTTTTGTTTTAATGTTAAGAAATGACAAAATAATAAGAATGTTAAGGATGTTTTTTCTTGCAACAAAGCAAGACTGCATGCACAACAATCACTCTCTCCATAATAAAACAGGTCAGTAATGGTACAATGGTGTGGACTGAAGGTTTAGATCCTGCACTTTTCACAGAATTTCTCTGTTTGTTTTAGTGAGTTATGAGCAAGACAAAAATCATCTAGTACTAAATTATCTAGATCTGCCGGTGCTACTTACTCTTTTAGTGGGGTCTTCAGTGAACACATGCTCTATATCCTCCTTATACATACACAACAGCAAATACTGGCAATGCTGACAAAGAATCACACAAACACACAAATTTAGAAATGCTGTGTATGAATGTGTGTAACTGTATACATGTGTGTATGTTTTTATCTGTGTTTACCAACTGAGAAATAGAACTGTCCAGAGCTTCTTCTTCAGTCATGTGTCTGGATTGCCACCATCTCTGGTTGATCTTCAAGACACAGAAAGTGCAACTCCACTTTTCTCTGCACACATAAAGATTTCAGTTGCATTATTAGCTTCATTTTAGTATGATATGAATTGGAAAAAGTATCATTCTGCATAATGCTGGGTAATATGACAATATTTTATCATTATCATGATAAATGATGTCACGATATGCTCAGAAAAGCATGATCAGAAAAGGATATAGTAAGTAATACAGAAATGAGTCCTGTTTAACTGGATTTACAGTAGCAAGCATGTAAAAATTGAATTCACAGTTCTATGGTTTTTTTCCATGTGGCTCTACTGGGGCCATCTACTTTTTAATCTGTTGTAACTTATCCAAAATGAAATATTATCATATGTATTGTGTATCATGAAAGCAATTTTAAGGATCGTGAGGTTATATTTAGGCAGCACGGTGGCACAGTGGGTAGCGCTGTCACCTCACAGCAAGAAGGGCCTGGGTTTGATTCCCGGCCGGGCGGCCAGGGCCCTTTCTGTGTGGAGTTTGCATGTTCTCCCCATGTCTGCGTTTTTATATATGTGCTCTGTTTTTATCATTTTGTGAAATCAAAACTGAATGAAAAAAGTCAAATGTGCAGAGTCGAACCTGTCAATACAGAATGTAAACTGAATGTAAATGTAATTCCTTAAGAAACTGACTGTGTAATTACATTCAAACAGGAAAGCAAAACCGCAGAAATAATTAGCTATAGGTTGAACAGATGCAAAACAAAGGCTATTTTATTTATTTGTAAGTAATAATGTGGTTTTTCAGTGCTGTTGCTGCATTTATTTTGATATGTAAAGAAATCAGGATGACGATTTATGAGTTAAATGTGCTTAAATAACCATTTTTAAATTTACTGTATAGAGCAATTATTGTCAGCCTCATATAAATACTCACAGTTGCCCTTATTCATCAAAGTTGCATAAAAAAGAGCACAGATGTGACCACTTTAATGGCGTATGAACTACTCTGCATCTCATTTATGAAACTTTCTTATGATCTTCAAAGAAGTGGAGATTTGAATGCAAACAATGAATCAGCTGCACTGTGTGAAATCTAGTGCCAGTCTGCCAGCACCTCATTTACATATTATTCAGTTCAGCAGCTTGTGAGCCAATGGCTGTGCTCATAGGCCGAGTTTGAAGTGGAGCAGTGAGTGCACTGCTCCTCCTACTGACCAAACTTTATAGTATTAAAATTCCTATGACAGGAAAGAATAAAATGTGAAATAAACAAAATGTTTTATTTAGTTTTGAGATGAAACAATGATGAGATTGCATAGTGAGATTATTTTCCTAAAATAAAACGAAACACTACATTATTGCAGTGTATGAGATGCTTCTGCACTAGCTGCATTTTGTGTTTTGGACAGTGTCAGTAGTATAAAACAAAAGCACAGCGTAATAAAATGAAACAAAAAAATAGTTGCAGCATTTGTTAATACCAACGTAACAGGACGGGGTCCACAGGACACTGTTGACTGGATATTTTTGGTTGGTGGACTATTCTCAGTCCAGCAGTGACACTGAGGTGTTTAAAAACTCCAGCAGCACTGCTGTGTCTGATCCACTCGCACTAGTGCAACACACACTAACACGCCACCACTATGTCAGTGTCACTGCAGTGCTGAGAATGATCCACCACCCAAATAATACCTGCTTTATGGTGGTCTTCTGAGGGTCCTGACCTATAGAATGAACAGGATAAAAGGGGACTAACAAAGTATGCAGAGAAACAGTTGCAGATAAAAGCAGGTGTACTTAACAAAGTGACCGGTCAGTGTGTACTGTATGTTTTAGTGGATGTGGTGTTGTTATAAAATCTGTCGTAAGTAGTCTTTTCCCCTCACCCCAGTGAATCGTCCTGCACAGCCGGTAAATGGCACTGATGATGGAAAGCTCTTGGACATTCATCACAGCACAGCAGGTCACATTCAGTGTTACAGATGAAGCACTCATCATCATTTTTCTCATCAAGCTGGTTACAGAACATAAAGATAAATAAGTTAAATATCGAATAAATGCTTAATTAATAAATCAATACGCAAATTAATTCGGAATGTAAAAAACAAATAACTAAAAAAAGGCATCAGCAGGTTTCTTTTTAGACCTGTTTAATTAAATTTATGATTCTGAAAACTAACAGTAATATTTTATTGAGGACGTACTATAATGGATCAACTTACTATAATAGATTTCAACTATAACTGATCCACTTCAGTCTCTCTTTAAAGGTAATAAAAAAGCGCTGATGATAATATTCATATTAACATCTCATAATAATGGTCACATTCTAGGTGTTCCACAGGGCTCAGTCCTAAACTCCCTTCCATATCTAACATGTTCTAACATTTTTTCACAACATTATAGCAATGGTGATTTGGTATCAAGCATCTGTGTAGCATATCATATTTTAATTCAAGCAAAAATGCATGTTTATAATCTAAAAATTAGTGTATAGAATATGATGAAATGATTTTGTAGAATGGCACTCACTCACCAGATCCTGCTCTGTAGTACTGCAATGATTACAACTACACAGCCGGCAATGTGCCATCAGGATCTTCTTCTACAGAAGGAACATACGCATGTTAGACTATATTTGCGTTTGTGACAAATTTAAATAAATGAATAATTAAATAAAATCCTATGAACTGATGTCAGTTCCTACAAATTGTTAATGATACTGTAACCGTATCCATGCACTGTGCAGATTCTCTGATCTTTTCTCTAAATATGTCAAGGAGGCTGTTACATCTGTATGCAAATGTACATTAACAAATCCCTTGATATGAGTTAAATGAGTACCTCTTGGTCTCTCTTGTCCTATTCTTGCATCTTTTCCTCCCTCTCCAACTCACTTCCCCTCCATTGCTTATACAAGCATATGCAAAAGTTTGAATCTCCAACCCCCCTCACCCCACCCCCAGGTCAAATGATATATTTTAGATTTTCTCAGTGAAAGTAAATTAACACAATCTCTTACAGAGAACACACTTAAATATGGCATTTTTCTGCTCATCCAGGGTACAATAATTACATAGGTTTTTAGTTTGAAATCTATACATCTGACTGATGCTGATATTTTTTGAAGCTATTTTCCACCAATATCGATATAAATGTGATCATCCATAAAAAGACTGTGAAAGATGAGTACAATATGTTTTTTAAAAATACAACATTTGCAAATAGGATGTATTTAATAAAGAACATAAAGAAAAAATATTGCTAAAATTATTGTTAATTAACCATTAATACAACAATAAGATAATCATTTACATGTTTTGTTGATTTTCTAAGTGAAAATAAGTTTATAAAACACATCCTCTACAGAGAGCACACTTCTGCACATTATAATGCACAATTACTGTTGATTTGCTGAATTTAACATATTGAAGAAAGCATGTTGTGCAAAGGTTATGGCACATTTAATAATTAAAGTTTTATTTTCCAAAGCGTAAAACCGTGCACTAAAATTAACAATAAAAGTCATGTTTAAGTGTGTTCTCTGTAGAGGATGTGTAACTTCTTTTCACTTAGAAAGTCAACAAAATGTATCATTTGACCAGGGTGTTCAAGCTTTTGCAAACAGTTGTAAAAATGTTGAAATCTCTGATAAATCTCTCTCCTGTTAGCACTTTAATCCTGTTATGTCTCATGAATGTCATCTGCAGGTGAGATATGTGAATGAATACATGCATTCTGCCATTTTCATTATTTCTTGCTCTCTCTCTCTCTCTGTCTCTCTTTCTCTCTCTCTCTCTCTTTCTCTCTCTCTCTCTCTCTCTCTCTCTCTCTCTCTCTCTCTCTCTCTCGTATTACCTTCAACAGGTAGTTTAATGTTTTGCCATGACATTGAATATCTTTCTTCCAGTGCCCGTCTGTCATAGTTAACTCCTGCTTTACAAACTCCTCCGGAGTGAACCAGCACTCCTCCGTGCGGATGCTTTTACTTCGTGACCCTGCAGCAGATCAACATACATATTTAGTGTCCAGATTAGATTAAAACTCATAAAGTAATTGCACATATAATACATAGAATATTATACATACGTATACATGCATGAAAAAAATAAAAATGTATATGACGTATATTAATATTATTGTTGATTCCAAACTTTTGCATGTTGGCTTGTTTTTTAGCTCATCCAACTCAACAACTCAACTCCTACAACTCTGAATTCAATAAAGAAATTAAATGCATTGAAATTTTAATTGTAAAGTATTTCCGCAAGCATTTTTCACAACAGGCCACTGTTGAAGTTGAAGTTGAAGTCAGATGGCACTTTTAATAGCACCAAAGTCCATGTGCCGTCATACTGTGCATACTGCTGTGCAAAGGATTCTGCAAGATTACATGCACCAGTGTATAAACCATTTTTCTCACTGGCTTTTGCAAGTTTCACATGTTTTGGAGATCGCTCAGTTGAACTACACATTTTTGTTGTTCAGCAACATTAATGGAATGTATTTAGGTCACCAGGCAAATCAACATTTATAAAAGTGTTTTTTTATTGTGTTTAAATGCTATTTTTCATTGTGGCAGTTTTTATACACAATATTTTAGCAGTTTGTGCTGTCGGCTGTGTTGTTTTATCTTGGCATGGCCGTCTTTGTGAAGAAGTATGAATTATTTTCACAGCAGGGGGCTCTCACCCCTCCACTATCGCCCTCATTGCTCACTAGCAGCTCAACGCAGAGACCTAACATTTTATACATAGAGAGACAAGAGTGTCTTAGTTAATCTCATAACAGAGTTACAGGGAAAAATATTTTGTATTTGATTATATTAATGAAAACCAATGCCTGACCCACACTGCGGGATTTTAAAAATCCTAACTGATGTTGAAACATAAGAGACCCCACACATAATGATATTTTTCACCCATTTTTCTGTCCTTGATTGTTGCTAGTCATCAAAGTCCCCACACCACACAATCTGCCCTGAATGCAACACCACACACTCTCAGATTTTGTGAACATGAGTCCGAAGAATGGTTCTGGTTGTCAAAAGGCTTTAGCTTTGCTGGTGGCGTGTGCTTCCTGTCCAGAAAAGCCGAGTGGGAGAAAAAAAATTAAGATGAAGCCATGGCTGAAAAGAAGGGGTCAACACAGCTTATATATACTGCAACATGAGCTTAATGTGAAAAAAACATACATAAACATACACACATGAGGTGACTGTTTTTTGATTTGACTGCTATGTGTACAACTTCTTCAGCTCAGCTCAGATTGGTTGACAGTCTTTCAGGCATGATGTTAACACTGTGTTTTACACCAGAGAATCACTGTCAACCCCACACTACAGGATACTGAGTTGTAAATACTCAATGTTTAATATTTACAATTCATATTTGGGGAAGCCTCGGCTGGACTAGGTGTAGATTGGAGGAGTAAAGATTGGATTATAGACACACACACACACACACACACACACACACATATATATATATATATGACACCATCTCACTCAGAAATTCCAGATTATGTCTGTGAAATTGTACTTAAATATAATTATTGCGTTTCACACTGAAATACTTCACCCAATATGATTCATAAATCTGACTACTTGCATTTTTGGACATTTTATCTCCTTAACAATATTGGCTGTGCGAATATTGTATCAACCAAAGTCTGTATTCTTGCTGTTCTGGTTGCTATCTTAGGGACTGCTATGCTCATATATGCTAGACTAGCTGCTAATATGTCATAGTGTGTTACATCCTGCTTTTGTCCTGCGTTGCACCATTGTTCTGGAGGAATGTTGTTTTGTTTCACTGTGTACTTGTATATGCAATGACAATAAAGCCTCTTGAACTTGAACCCCACACCACAGGATAATCTGGGAAGATCATTGTTTAAAATCACCCTTTTGCAGAACGAGGCTAAAGAGAGAAAAATCAATCTCCACCTTACCTAAAATGCAGTTGTTCAGCCAGGACATGTTTGAGATGCTCTAATACAAGTGTGTGATAATTTAGGAATGCTTGACCTTTTGCAAAATGCTAACTGATGGGGTATATGTTAGCACTAGCATTTTAGCTCCAGTGCAAAAATAAAGAAGCAAACTTCAGACGTCAAACAAGTCTTGGCTGATCGACATTTGGGGTTGAATGGAAAATCTGCACATTTGTTTTTTCCCAAACTATTCCTTTAAACATCATAACAAGACTGAACTCTGGAAAGCAGACACCTACCTGAGGCAAATCTGCGCTTATATAAAACTCCATTGACAGAACCACAGCTGACTGGTAAAGTAGGAGTTTGAAACACAGATGGATGCACTGGCCTTGTGTCTTTTTCTTCTTCTTCTTCTTCTTCTTCTTCTCCAGCACTGGACTCTGAAACTAACAGACAGTAGTGGAGCAGATCACTCACACTTGATCTTGTACACAACCTCACAATCACATCATCAGAATAGCAGCAGAGAAGGATACACATGAAAAATTAACCCAATTACATATTAGTTTCATAGTGGTTACTGAATAATAAGTCTTAAACAGGGATGCACTGAAATTTTTTGGCCACAGAAAAAATCCAAATTTTGTTTGAAAAAAGATTAAATAAGTCTACATTGTCATTACATTTAATGACATTTCATTTAAAGAAAATGAAATAGTAATGAAAAAACATTGCTTGTTTTCATCTCCGTCCTGCACTGGTCAGCACATACTCATTCAAAAACAGTTTGGGCAGCAGCAGATCAAGGGTAAACACTCAAACATGGTCCAGTGCAGCTGCATTCTATGCGATCTTTAATTTACATACTTTTTAGATTTATCTAATTTAATAATTCTTTAATGGATATCATAAACTATAATTAGTAACACAATACCTTTTGGTTTTAAGTTTTTACCTCTGCTTTTGAACGTTGTTACTGCAAATGCATGTGTGGATTGCATCATGTTAAGGTTTGTGACTTTCCTTTCTAATAGATATACACCATAGCGCCACCTGTGGGAGAAACTTCAAACTGCTAGATGGGAGTTCCAAAGCCATGTCCATGTGCTGTCTGTATTAAAAAAAAGTGCTTTCTGCTGTTATAGAGGAGGTGCCCTAAAATGTAGCTTTAGATGCCTCTGGGAAGTTTTTTATACATATATATATATATTCATAATATATATAATATATATATATTCATAATTTTACATTTGTCGACCTATTTGGACAGGATTAAATGTACATGGGGTCCTGGGGTAATTTCCTCGTTTACAGGTGTTCCTGTGTGATTTTATTTAGTCCCTTCCAGATGTCTGGGGTTTTCCAGGCAGATGTTGCCTCGCATTGGAAAAAAAAAGATTTCTGATATCTTTTTTGGTTTCAAATATTTAAAACTTTGTTTTACTAGTAATGATATGCCACAGAATAACCATTTACAAGTGTTATATTCAAGAAATATTTATACATTAATACAATTTAATAGCGGTTAAATGCTCCAAAGAATCCTAGCTGCTGCATGCTCAAAACTGTGTGGGATTGATAATGATCAAGAGTGGTGTCTCTTTGGCAACCCAGCACCAGTGTCACTGGTGGGCAGCACCGCCAACGATGCTAGTCATGGCAGGATCGGTTTGGTTCATCTCTACATGACTAATTTAGAAGAACAATAGCCCCCTTTTAGACCACTTTGCTCTTTTCAACCAGTTTTTGAATGGTGAGTAAAAAGTGCAAAATGCAGAGCAAGCTGTCTAATGATCATTTTAGAGATCTGTTTACATTTTGCAGCTAGTGTTTGAGAACTCAGGCTTTCATCTTATGACAAGTATAACACAGACATTTCTTGTCTGATATTTGAATGCTCAGCAGCAGCTCAGTACTTCACATAAGCTCCCGTCATACTTGCAGACACGGTGGAGAAATTTCTTATGTAAAGTATGCTGAATTACCTCTGAGTATGAAATGTGCTGCATGAATGAACTTGCCTTGCGGGTCACGCCAATTAAGTACAATTGTGGGGAAATACTATGAGCCTTGATGTTAGGGGGGTAGCTAACATATTTTATTTCTACAGTTAAGGTGGACTGCTATCTATCACGCTCTCGTAAATTATCTTATGGCTTCAAGTACGATCCTGCAACAGGTAGATAATGCAAGTAGGAAGCAGCACCTAGGGAGTCCATGGGGGTCCTGACCACTGAAGGACAGGGTAAAAGAGGGCTAACAAAGTAAGCAGAGAAACAGATGGACTACAGTCTGTAATTGTAGAACTACAAAGTGCACCTATATAGTAAGTGGAGCTGATAAAATGGACAATGAGTGTAGAAACAAGGAGGTGGTCATAATGTTATGCCTGATCGGTGTACACGTACAGTATGAAGTCTCATTACTCAAACACATCCACATCTCAGTGCTTTTAGATGAATCATAAGTAGGTAGGTATTCGTGTGTTTGTTAAACATATCTGTAACATGATTCTGACACAAAATCAGCCTGAGCAGGACTTCTAAAATGTCACAACAGCACATGTCAATATTTAATACATTTTTATTATTATCATCATTATTATTACTATTATTATCACTATTATTATTACTATTGTTATGATAAAATCCAACTAATGGCCTTTTCCAGTCATAATAACATTAATAAATATCACAAAAATGCATTAAATATACACTGTATACAACGTAGTGCTTGGGTTAGTGACTTTCAGAGTAAATGATTAAGACACTAACTTGTAACTTGTCTGGTACTTCCACTGGATGTAAACAGCGCTCTCTTGCATTGTGGCTAAAACAACAAACAGATGTTAATACATTGTCTCAAACTTAAAGTAAAGGCACATTATAGACTACGTTTAGACACTAAGTTTAGCTTTGACCTTTACAATCATTACAGTAATTACAGTGGTCTTAACAGTAATTAGACCTGCATAGATCTATGACTATAAACATCATTACAGTCACTGCAGTAGCCCTTTAGTCATTACAGTGATTTTTACAGTCTTTACACTCATTACAGTGATCTTTACAGTCATTACCATCTTTGCAGTCATCTTTACAGTTATTACATTCATTAGAGTAAACTTAACAGTCATTATACTGACCTTTACAGTCATAGTTACTGCACTGACCTTTAGAGTCATTAGTCACTACAGTGACCTTTACAGTCACTACACATTGATCTTTACAGTCATTAGTTACTTTTACAGTCTTTACAGTCTTTACCTGCACAGTGGTTACAGAAATTATATTGACCTCACTGGTCTTACCTGTCCCAGTGAGTCCCTGCCAACAGGTGAAGACTTTGGACAACAGCAGTGTGTGCAAGAATTGAGACAAAAAACAGAGAACTGTGAGAAAAACATATTTCGAGCCCTAAAAAAAAGATTCAGTAAGAATTTGATACATTAACAAGAATCATTTAACAGAAGAGACTGTAGTACCTCTTCATCCTGTATCTTCTTTTGTTTAAATGATGGAGATGAAAGAAAGCCCCCCTACACAGTGGACATTAAAGAGAAGAAGAGTAAGAGGATTAGAATGAAGTCTCTACACTTGCATGTGTGCAAGACCAAATAATGTAGCTAAATCATATGGAACATCAAAATCAAATGGTACATATGGAAAAATGGGCATGTGACATGTTTAGTTGATTTTCTAGGTGAAAATAAGTACACATGCTCTACAGAGAGAACATGCTTACTGTTTATTTGCTGAATATGCAGGTAAAAATAATGTAAAATGTAGTCTGTGTAAAAGTTCTAGCACTTTTTGTCCATTAAGCTATTCCAATATGTTAAACTCAGCAAATAAATATGTTCATTAATTTTCAGAAAAATGTCATATTTTAGTTTGTTCTTCATAGACTAGGTATTCACTTATTTTCACTTAGAAAATCAACAAAACATGTACTTTGACCAGAGGTGTTCAAATGTCTGCATGCGACTGTATATTTATTTGTACAGATTTATTAATTCTGTAATCAAATCTTCTTCATTTCTCTGCTTATACTGACTGAGTGTGAATCTTTTTTGCTTTTGCTCTGAGTTGATATAGACTGCAGTGTGAGCTTTTACATGTTCTGCATATTTACCTCTATGAGTGTTTGTAAAGGAAACTGGCGATAAAGGATGCTAGTTTTCCACTTTTTGTTTTTCTCCTTTCCTCCAAACTTCTCAAACTCTGAGGGTGTGAACCACTGTCCTTCAGAGAGGATGCATGGCTTACCTGCAGGGGGGTTGGTGGTGGAGGGTTGATGTTGTGTGTATATGTGTGTGTGTGTGTATGTGAGAGAGAGAGAGAGTTAATTAGAAATGTGTGTGTATATATACATATATATTTCAAGTTAATATATATATATATATATATTATATACCTTATATATAATATATATATATATATATATCTACTGAAAAATTAGTAGTTAGCTACTTTGTAGCTACTTTCCCAAAATGTGTAGCTAGTTTTCCAGAAAAAGTAGTGGCTACTTTTTAGCTACTTCCAAAGCGTGATTGTCAGAATGTTTGTGAATCTCCACCTGACACACCAAACAAGCCCAACTGTGAACAAGACACTGCATTCAATCATGTGCCAGAAAGAAACACACAATTGAAAAGCTGCAAATATACAAAAAGATCACCAAAAAGTGAGTTTAAGTGTAACCAACAATCAAACTTACACACCCCAAGGTGTGATATCCAACAAAAAATTTGTAAAGGCAAAGTCAATCATTCCAGGTTTTTCCTTACAAAAATCAACAAAAATAACCAAATACAAACAAAACAACTTTGTGCAAAGCACTGTCAACTGTTGAAATAAAACTGCTCCAATTTAAACATTTCATCAAGATATGAACAGACATAACATCCAGAGTCATTTGTTAAACTTCAGTAACACTTAAACCTCAAATTCTCATCAGTGACCCTGGCTCTGTTTGGGGTGAGAATCAGGCCTGAATAATCTCTCCACTGCTGCAGAGCTGCTGCAGCTCCACAGCAGAACTAGATTTTAAGGTAAAATAATATAATCCTGCTTTACTGTAAAATCGTTATAACACACAGTTCTAACACGGTTTTTACAGTAAATGGTCTTAAACGCTGGAGTTAATGTCTAACTGCTAATTCACCAACGTTTAATGCTGAAGACTGATGCGCAGACTGCTGGTCACACAGTAACGCAGACAACGAAACGGCAAAAAGAGAGATTTAAGACGAACGTCGATAATTTGGAGATGAATGGACTTATTTGCATTTATAAGCACTGAGCTGGTTTCCTCATATGCTCAATCTGCAACAACCTCATAAAGCCTCATAAAAAGTTGAACATTGAGAGACATTTTACAAGAAACTTGCAGAAAAGTTTCCTGAGATGTGAGAGAAGTGGCTATAGCTGAGCGAAAGCTTAAAGCAGAGCAAAGTAAGTCTGTGTTTGTGTTTATATTCTTTTTTAGTTTGTATTAGTACATCAGCACATACTGAGACTTATTTACAGCCAAGATGGTAAAACGGACATAAAGTGTTGTGGCTCCCAAGGTGGTCTCGTTTTTGTTGAAAGGATAAAACGGCTCTTCTTAACATTTCGGTTGCGACCCCTGAGCTAAGCCTGCTAGTAAGGGGTGATCAGCATGTGGGGCGAGCGCGTGACTGTTTACTCGAACTGTCCGCGGCTCAGTCAGGATTGCACAATCGCCACCAGCTCAGTTACCGACCACATTCTGTGGTTCAGATTTTGCATGGATTGTCTGAAGCCTGTAGCGAAATTGTGGCAAAAATTATCGCTATAGCTACACAAAAATTTGTAGGCGCTACAGCTGTTAGCTACAAACATTTATAATTAACTACAAAAAGTAGCGCTACTTAACTACTCCCCCATGCCTATATATATATATATATATATATATATACAACAATTAATTCCGGCCACGCAAGCTGATGGGTTGAGAAGCGTTCTAACTGTGCTGATATTTCGCCATAACATCACGTGTTTTTTGCAAACACTGTATCACTCCTCTGAGATGCCGTTGCTAAGCAACGACTTTGACAGCTGTAGGAGACGCTCAAGACATTTGAACATTTTTACTTCATACTTTGTGCACAAACAGAAACTGGATACTTTTAAGATCACATTTGACCGACAGCCGATTTGGTCAGACTGTGAAGATGAGACTACACTAAATTCCCAAACTGTCATCACCACTGAGCAGCTTTTCAGTTGGCAGCTGTGACAGAAGAACAGCTGAACAACCTGGAACTAGCCAGAAATTAACCGAATACCATTCGCCAAACAAAATGGGCTGTAAGATGCTTTACAGACTGGATTTACAAATTTGATATTGCGGCAGTTTTATGGCTCAGTCTGTACTGCAAAAGGCAAGGCTTACAGCATCCTGTGCAGCGAGTGAGCGGAGTTCGTTACTCTGACGTAGCAACAAGCTGCTTGTTGAGGAACTATAATTTGGTGGAAGGAATTGTTAACATTAAAGCATATTAAACGCTGCGTTCACGGCCCAGTTTATTTATTTCTTACTTTATTTATTTAACTGTTGTATAAAAGCAATAGAACACTCGAGGTCGTGTGATGATCTAATCACAGCCGTGATGTTATTTCGTGATAACACACTCCCTCTCGTGTTCTATTGCTTAAATATATATATATATATATATATATATATATATATATATATATATATATATATATATATATATAGGTATATATATATATATATATATATTTAAGCAAGACCTTTACAGTGGTTAAAGTGACGTGGATAAAAAAAGGTAATGATGTTGCGTTCCACTATGTGAAATTTACTTAATGTGTCAGTAGATTTGCAGAAAAAGCAGTTGGCTTGGAGTGTGACTTTGGGGAACTCCCCAAACCCAGATACAAATATACTGAAACATATTCAGACTCACTGTTGTTGAACTTTTCCTTGTACAGTATGCCTCCTTTATCTCCACAGCTGACTAAAAGATCCTGTAGGTCCCTGATGTGTTCTCCCAGCCTCTTGTTCACTGAGGGGCCTGAAATGACTATACATTAGCAGAGCCAGGTTTATGATAAACAATGCAAATGAAATGATGAGTGAAAGTTTGGGTTGTACTGTAAAGCCCTGATCAAGAACTTGTCATCCCAATTGGACTTCTATTTTTTTTTTTGTTTGTTTTTTCTTTTTAAATTAGTGATGTAGTGCTGTGCAAAACTCAGAAACACCCATTTTATAGTTATTAAGTAAATGTTGTTCCTTTTTAGGAGACATTACAGAGTAGATTAGATATAAGATAATTCACTTGCATAAGGCAGATGAAAGCCAAAGAGAAATAAGTGAAAAAACAGGAGTTTAAAAATTCTTGAAACTTATAGAGAAAACAGGACTGTGAACATCTATTAAAACTGTCCCCATCGGATAAACAGTACCTAAAGCTTTCATCTTTGAGAGAGAGGAGAAAATCAAGCTCCACTGTTGCTTCAGATCTAAAAAAAAGTAAAGTGCTTCTGTTCATCCTTCCACTGTGAGAAGACAACTCAACACTATGAGACTGAAAGGATGTGTAGCTGCCAAGAAGCCCTTACAGAGAAAAGGGAATAGACAAAAGAGAAGGACTTTGCACGAGAACACAGAAACTCTACATCTGAGATGTGAAGTCAGTTTTTATGGACTGGTAAGTCTGAATTTATGTCTGGGATTATTTGGATCATGAGAAGCAGAAAATGCAACCAACGTCTAAGGTGTTAAAAGTATCTTGCAGATTTCTTGGAAAACTGAAAGTAAGTCTCCTGGAAAGAATTGGTTGATGAGGCTGATGCTGAAAAATGAACACCTTTGATGCCGAATGGAAATTAAATGAAAAGACTTTTGCACAGTACTGTATATAATAATTACTGTATATAACAGTTCTTAATACATTATTGTTATTCAGGTTGAAATGTAACACACTTATACACAATTATATGTATATTCAATTAAATATTTATATTTGCACAATGTTTATTAGTGAGGTATAAGTAGTACCTGTTAGCTACATTAGTCCTGTAGTTCCAGGGCAAAAGTAAAGAAGGAAATTTCAGACATCAAACATGATCTTAGCTGATCTGCTCCATTTGGAATTAACTGAAAATGGTGTAAATTTGATTCTTCATACCACTTTGTGATTTTCCCTGAATTCCTAGTGAAAGCTGACTTACTGCTTGCAGTCTCCCTTTTAAAATTGTGGACAGGGGACAGTCTCAGCTGACCATTTTTCCTGCAGCTCCTGGTCATCATCCTTCTCTTCCTCCTGTGATTTCTTATCTTTATTTGTTCCTCTTCACTCAGCCAGTCTGAATCTCTCAATCCCAGTCATCATTTTCCTCTTCCTTCAGGTCCTTTCAGGGGTACATGTACATGTCTGTAATGAACTGCGACGCTAGCTGGATTAAGCGGTTAACGATGATGAATGAATGAATGAAGGCATGAATGTCAATGCAATTATAGATTCATTTTTATTTAATATAATCGTCACGCTTTGTGTGTTTAAACTGATTGTAAGAATTGTGGTAAATCTCTTTTTTTCTTATTAAGTCTTGGTAAACAAAAGAATTAAATTCTTGAACTGCTCAATGGAAAATTCTCCAATCAGTATTTTTTCTTTGTGGTCTCTAGGTAGACAGAGCCAAGCAAGCTATTGTATTGGTTGGACTTCAGTAGCTGGACTGAATGCCTCAAGTGTCAGATTAACCACCAACATAATGAGGAACTGACAGTGGAATCAACCTGTCCACTTTTGATTTACAAAGGGACCAAGTGTGTGAGAAAAAAAAGGTCACTCAAGTCTAGGTCCTTGTTTAGACTGCCAGCCCAAATCCGATTTGTGACACATCCAGATTGTATCCAGATCAGATTTCCAAACCACATTTGGAGGTGGTTAATATTCGACTTCAATCATATTTTTACAGCTGCATCTCAGTCTGGACACTCTGGCCACTCAAATCAGATTTCAAAGTGTCACTCACAACAAGACAAACAATGACGATGTTTAATCCAGAGTGATGGAATTGCTGTGATTCAAGAACAGCACCAAAGATTCACGCTTATGCCAGAGACTTTGGAGGCAACCCATGCAGATAGGTTGGTGATGTCTGGACACACAAATCCGGTCTGTTCACTCGCAAATAACAGTAATAATTCCGTCTACCTTCCTGTGGAGTCTAGTTCTAACCACTATCTGCCACACCTGCTCTAGCTAATTAACTTCTTCAGAAGTCTGTGATTGGATGGATCATACACATTTTTCTTAGGTAAAAGGAGCAGCATGGTAGATTCAAACTAAACTCTGCAGGAAAGTAGATCTTCAGGAGGAGGGCTGGTGACCACTGCTCTAGGCCTAGTGTCTAGTCTTTGTCTAGTTTTGTTCTTTTATTTTTCTGTTGCCACCCCAAAAAAATCATTGGCCACCACATTGTAAAATTCTGGCTACAGCCCCGCATAGAAGTGTTTTTACCTATTTTTTGATTGAGTTTTGACATTTATCATTTAAACTGAATGCTCCAACAGTCATGGTTTAGCCCTGCTGAAAAAACCCAAAGAAACCATTAAGTGTTTCTGTTGGTTCTTGATGGTTTTGTCATGTGTTTTGGCTTTTTTTTAATGGGTTGACATCACAATGTAAAGCATCCAAATGGTTTAATAGATGACCAATGACTCATTCTCAATGCATTTGATGGTTTCCTAATCGATCTATAATGCTCAAAACAGAAAAGAAGGTAAACGTGAGTTCAGAAAAGTCACTCATCAAGGACTATAAGGACATCATAAGGACTATTCACCATGGTTCCACCTCTTGTCTTCCATTTTTCTCATTGTTCTGCAGTTCTATTCTGCATTGTCTCTGTACATTTGGCGTTCCTCCTCTGCTCACTCTGTGTTTAGACAGCAGGCTGTTCTCAGGTGTCAAATTTCATTGCATCACTGGAATCCAAGGTCTATCACGCCTTTTTTTACAATCTGGATACGCCCAGTCAGACTTTATGGGAGCTTCAGATTTAAGCGTCTGTGATCCATACAGACATGTTTTTAAAAGCCTAATAACTCTCATACTGTCTTCCAATGTAAAAAGCACATGGTCCTCATGTTCAGAAGATCTGTGGTGTTAGAGGTTAGCCCTACCCCAGATTTAAATAAGAGAAAAACACTAATCATCAAGCCCTAATTATCAAGCTCAAATGTGAGTTCAAGCAAGGAAAACTGTCCTGAACAGTGCAATGCGGTGGAACAGTTTAAAAACTCTGTCTTTTTTTATAATGCTACCATGTGGTGAATTACCTCAATTCAGAATCAGTTCACGAGGTACTTTTAAAGGGAGAAAATAATGCATTATTTGAAAAAACAGTTTAAATTTCTGCCCTACTTCACATGTAGTCAATCCACCAAGACATATCTGATGTCTATAGTTTATTTTTTTATTATTTAACTGGAGCTACATTGTTAATGAAGTAATGAAAGTTTGTACACCACCAACTGTTGAAGCTGTCACTGTTATTCCACTTTAACATCTTGTGTTCATCAGCGAAAATAAGGAAAATAACCACAAACACTGACAGCACAGAAAGAAAATAAGGATCAGATATGAATAGAATGTGAAAGATTTACTCACCTTGTATAACGCCATCCAGTTACCCTCATGAAAACAGACACACACACACTTAGCTAATAAAAGTTGTCGGTCAGATGAGAGGTGGAGGAGTTTTATTCTGCTTTTCTTCCCTCCTACACGTTGATTTTTTGTATCTTTTTTGTTTCTTTCTACACTCCTTCAATGCTCTCACTCTCCTCCTCTTTTTGTTTTCCACTGAAGAACAACACTCAACCGTTCTTCTCACCTGAACACACCCTGGTTCCTTTCAGTTTCATTTCAATTTTCAATTCAATACAAGTCTATGTTTTTTTGCATTACTATTTCCCACCTATAGACACAATAATATATTCATCAAGATAAATATGATTAGTGTCAAAAAGCGTAAACTGATTCTTGACTACAAAGTAGAAGAGCAAATATCAGCATGATCAGATTTAAATATGTTTCATTTACATCTATAGCATGTTTTTACTCCATCTTCAAAAGAGCTATCTCACCCTGTGAGTTACTTACAGACTTCAGATGGATGCTATAATACAGCCAGCAAGAGGGTGATTAAACTAATACAGGTGTAAGTAGAAAAAGTTAAGTAAAAAAAAATATATGATGAAAAAAGTTACTTGTATGATACAGAAACAATTTTCAGGGTCAATCTCAAGAAATATCTCTGATTGCTGTCAAAATTCACAGATATCCCAAATTTCTCATATCTCACTGATCATATAGCTGTTAATATTGTATGTCGGCATAGAATAAGACACAAGTGAGGCCATGATTCCACCACGAGAAGTGCTCTTTATTAAACACCAGGGCAGAAAGACACAAACATAGCACAGAACTTACGGGGGAGCTCACCACTGACCATACACTTTACTCTCACAGTGACCACCAAATCACAGTAACAAGATAATAAACAACGCAATAAACACATATTACATACCTTTAGCTGACGAACAACAACATAACAACAGAAATAGTCCCTTCTCTGGAGTGCAATTCCCGTGAGCCTCGTGCCATGGCCATCAGCAGGACCAAGCCTCACAAACTTCTAGAGCCCAGCACTACATTATTATTATTTAGTAACATTTAAAATTTTTACTGTATCATAACTTACTGTAGTTTTGGTGGTGTCTTGTTTATGATGTTTTAATCTTTTAAAAATACCAGGCTTATCACATTCTAACACAGGGCTTCCCAAAGTCTGGTCTGTGGATGTCGTGTGATTTTGTCTACCAGAAACCCTCACCACCTCACTTGAGAGAACAAACATGTAATATTATATATGTTTAAATATATTTATGTATATTTATATTTTTCTTTAGAATTGTGTAATGTGTAAAGGGTAATGTTATAAAATAAATATTTAAAGGTCAATGTAGATCTGATCTACCTACTTTTATTTGTATATCGTGTTGTGTTTTTGGCCTTTGGATTATTATTTTCCAAACTTTTGAATGCTAGTGTGAATGTGTCATGAAAATTCTGTTTTCTATGATGTTGGCCCTTTAAGACTCGCTTAGGACTCATGATGGTTGGTTTTCTAATAATGTTTTTTTTAATGTTTATGTGCTTATATGTGCATTTAGAACATAGTATTGGGAAAATACCAGCAAGGGGGCGTTAGACCAGTTTGTTGTGTGCATTATATCATAGGTTTCATTTTGTCCTATAACTCTTTGTAATATATTCGTAATCAAACTCGAGACAAGACAGAACAGAGCTTGTATGGTTTCTGTATGAGTCAGAGTGAATGTAAAGGTGGAAGCATGTTAGAATATTAGGGTGGTGAGTCACAGGCGGCCTCTGTTTACTGCGTGTTGTGAAGCTGTAACTGCTTCAAGTTCTGTGAGGTCTGATGCACTGACTCTGTGTCACATCACACATTAAACACAAATACACCTCCACACTCAGACACTCTAACAATAACAGGTGCTACAAGGGTTCTTTGGAGCATTGCCATAGAAGAACTTTTCATTCCATAAAGAACCTCGTTTGAAAGTGTGAATAACCTTTCAAAGGTTTAAAGAACCTTCATGTAATGTAAAGCTTGTACACCAGTTTAGTTTTTTTCTAAAACCTTTACACTGTGTGGAGGTATTTTAAATTTTAAAAAGCTTTTTCACACTCGCTCATCTACAAAACTCGTTCTCTGGTCCCCTTTACAGGCCAGAGCCCACCAGCGGCCCAAAGTGTTACTTCACAACCAAACTTGGATAGAAATTTGAATAGAAATAAGAATACAAATCAAAATCAAATTAAATTAAGCTTTTGTGGCCACACACAGCCATATACAGTATAATATGCACTGAAATGCTTATATGAATGTTCGCTGCCATGCAAAACAGAATATACAATAGAAAAAAAATCAAATAAAATATACAAAGGAAGAAAAATATAAAAAATAAAAATAAAGGAATGTAATAAAATACAAGGATAAGTGCAGATGTGTATGTGTGTACTAGAGGTAGTAGAATTGAAAGGGATTAATAAATGTTATAATACTTGTAAATATAGCAGTATGTATTGTGTAGGTAGGGTGTGTGTGGGTGCTGTGCAGTAGTCAAGTTAAGTGCGTAAGTGTGTATGTGGGTATGAATCAATAGTCCTACTCATTATCCTGGTTGAGAGCCCAAATGGCCTGTAGGAAGAAACTCCTCCACATTCTCTCTGTGTTGGCCATCAGGGAGCAGAGGCATTTCCCTGACCGCAGTAGAGAGGAGTCCATTGTTGGGATGGCTGAGGTCTTACACTATCTTCCTGGCTTCAGTCCAGCAACATTTGCTGTAGAGGGACTGGTGTCAGGGAGCTCAGCTAATCAGGTCAGAGGCTGATCACACCACCCTCTAGAGAGCCAGCCTATCCTGTTTGGTGCTGTTCAGGATGCTGTCTGTGATGCAGGTGTAAAAGTTTCTTTAACACCGCAGAGAGCTGTATAAAATAATATATAATAATATAAAGAGCTGCCAATCATCTTATTTCTATCTATTTTGCTCACTTGCATTGTCACTATCTGTGCACTCTTCTGTTCTTCTGCTAGCTAACATTACTGTTACATAGCCTAATGCCTTTTCTTTGCCTCTCATAAACCTAAAGTTAGCTAGCTAACAAACATCTGCTTACTATGTTTACTTGGCGACCATATTTGCAATGCCGCCAAGCAGGTATTTCAAGCCATACAAGACCAGACTCCTCTCTCTTTGAATGGGGAGAGACCAAAATACTCTAAACTGAAGATCAAATTACCATTTACAAATACATTAGAAATCACTGGTAAATTCTGACAAAAACTTCATAAATAGTTTGTAGCATTTGGCTTGTTGTTGACGCTTCTCTGCTTGCAGCATAACCAGTGAGCTGATTGGCTCTTTTTCTTGAAGGGCGAGTCTTTCTCTCAAACAGGCATCATGTTTAGCATTATGAACTTTCCCATTCATATTTCAACCAGTGACCAGTCTCCTCCTTTATAACGTCTCTGCTATTTTCTGCATATAACAGAGGCATAAAAATCAAGCTGACTAATCAGAGCTCTGTTGTCATGGTTGCAGCCCAAAAAAATGTTAGGCTGGCAGCAGAGCCCAAAAGCTTATACGACAAGCAAACACTGACTAAAAATGGGGAGGCTGAAGACACTATATGGTGGACGAGAGGTGAAAGGCTATGAGTGACAGTGAGTATGTTACAGTGACCTACAGAAATACCTGCGGAATCGCTCATCATGCAGCTTTAGCTAGCTCTTGTAAGAGGTGTCGAACCTCCCTGTGTTGTTGTTTTTGTAGAAAGGGTTGTACCCAGTGTGTGCACCATTCAAAAAAGATTGGAGTCAAGCCATAATTCTGCTGTGAGAACAGCCCTGTTATTAAACTGAGATGGCAGAAAGGCACATACATCATACTGAACAACGGGGGGAGGTCATCACTCGCCACATGCTTCACGTTACCTGTGCTGCTAACTTAAGCCTGTCAACACAGCATGTAAATTCAATGGAAATCAAACACAATTTCTTACATACAGGAAAGTAGTACAAGTAGTATAATAAAAAACAATAATAACTATACTAGGGAATGAGAGGCTGTGTGAAGAAAAGCAAAAGTAATTCCACTTTCCCATTTTTTACCCTTCTTAAAGAGGTTTAATTTTCTCTTCCAGGACACTGTTACAACTGAATAGAGACCAATCCTTCTTTCCCAGAATGCTGAAATATAATGGAAATGCAGCATCTTTCACTTTCACCCAAACAGAAGTGAAAGTAAGTGGCAGTAACTTTGTTTCCTCATCTGCTCTGCTGGCATATGCCAAGTCATCCCATATAATGTAATCTGACAGAAAAGATCAATGGCCAAATAGATATAAAAAGCTTTCCTTCTCTTTTCTTTCTTGACAGCACTATTAAATCCAGTCAGCATGTTGCCACATACAGTACAAAACCCAGAAACCACTCTTCATTTATTTAATTTCAAGTCAAAATGGCCATTATGTACATGTAATTCATTTTTCAGGAGATGTTTTTGAGGAGACTGGATATAAAATGCTCCATTTGCATAAAGAAAGGAGTACTCAAATGAATAAAAGATACAAAAAAATGTGACTAAAACTGTCAACATGAGATAAACAGCACTTAAAGCTTTTATCTTCGAGATAGAGGAGAAAAACAAGCTCCGTTCTGGTTGGTGTTCTTAGAACAATGGACTGACCACCCCAGACCTCTTGATATCTTGAGAAGCATAAAATGCAACCAACTTCTAAGACTGAACTTTGGAGGTGTGGAAAAATAGCCCTGCAGATTTCTTTGAAAAGCTGAAAGCAAGTCTCCTGAAAGTCTTCTGAGGTCTCCAAAAAAGAAGCTGTGATAAAGGCAAAGGATGACCACATTAATAAATATATGTTTTCTGCTTCTTTTGTTTATGCTGAAATTATGCTGAATAACGTATGTCTGATTATGCTGAATATCATATGTCTGATTATGTTGAATAATGTATGTCTGATTATGATGCTGAATAACGTATATTTAAAGGTCTGACTAGAAATTAAATGAATGAAGGTGCTCCCTTCTTCACAGCACTGATTACTATTCAGGTTTCTCTTTCACACTCTACACACAAAAATATATTTTCACATTTTTATTGAATATTTATTAGGAATTCTGTGTAATAAATGAGTAACATACAGTAAGTATTTACTGACATTCATCCAACTTGAGAGTTTATTTCTGCTGAAAATTGTCTTACTAATTATTTAAAACC